TGTTTGGACCAAGAGTTTGTAGAAGTTTCAATAAAACTGAAACAAGAGGGGTAGCCCGCAACTTTTTCTTTGGTTTTGCATTTCTGTTTAAGAAAACAAAAGGACACAAAATGTTTTTTGTCAAGCCTAGCATCTTAAAGCATACAGTATGTATATTGATTTCACTCGCAGGGACTGTTTGTGAGAATGTATAAATGAAAATGATGAACTGTTGGTGCATTTTGGTTATCCTTCACCTAGGCACAGTGATTTCAGGGACTGAAGACAAAAACTTTTGCAAGTTCCAGAGTTGACTCTTGAAAATGTCACCGTATAGAACAGCAATGAGGAGATACCCTGAAGATGGTGGTTTCACAGCCTCATTTGCACATACTTAGTCAAATAGCAATGTTCTAGTATGAGTACAATAACAACGATGGCCTGGCATCCATACTCAAGCATTTTCAGTCTATCTTGTGGATCCATGTGCATCCAGACTGTTTTCGGGGTGTTGTCATATAAACCCTTATTTCCTTATCAAACATAAAAGAAAGACTTGGTGGTCGACTGATTTTAGCCAATGCCGATTTATATTCCTTTTCTACTCCTGCAGATTTGTTTACCAGATTAGAAGAAGTGAAGAAACAACGAACTGTAATTTATTTGTGGCTGCTTCAAATCAACTTAAAAATCCGTCCTGCTTTAAGTTGTAACAGCAGATATCTTTTATGTTTTATCGATTAGTTAAAATGGGCGTTGGTTCGGCAGACAGAGTGTAATGTCAGTCAGTTCTGTGGCTCCACTAGTGCAATAAATCAGCACCCATGAAGGTGGTATTTTGGCTTCACATCTCAAAATAGGAAATAGAGGTGTGGTTTATATTTTAGTGTACACTAATGATTAATGATTTTGTTCACTGGGTATTGAGCCCGTGGAGAAGTGATGAAGCTGTAGCGATTGTTTTCATCCCAAAGAGTACGAATTGGTTGTTAAATTAACTTTCCAGATTTGGACTCCTTATTCCATAGCTTGGTTGAGTAGTCAAAGTATGGCAAATTAGCTAAAAATTAAAATAAAATCACAGGCTGAACCACGGGCTAAGCACATATGAGGAAAAAAACATGAATTGTTAAAAGGGTCAAAGGGCAAATGTTTTTTGTCTAAGAGAGGGATCTGTGGGAAGTGAGGTCAGGGATGTCTGCACACACACCAGCAATTATTGCTAATCGCCAAAGGTGCTTCCAAAGAGAACAAAACAGAGATCTTAGAGATCGTAGCTTTAAAGCTGACCCTTAAATCCATTAGCTAAACCGCTTATCCTTGGAAGGTCGTCAAGGGCGAAAGGAAGGCAAGATCCAATGGAGATATTGATGAAAAAAAGCTTTTTTTTGTCTTTAGATTTAATATGTCAAAAGACTTCTGCTTTTACCTCGAGCGATATATCATTATTATCTTGATCCTCTTTGGCTGGTGTTATTTTTAAGTGTTCCAAACTAGAGATTACGACAAAGGAAGTGAGTTTTGTAGTTTCACATGTTTCAAAAAAAGTGACCAAAATCAACATATATGAGATTTATCATGGCAGTACATATGGGATTAAATAGATTCTGCTGGTCCTGATGTAAACAGAAAAGGAAGTATCCAAGTGAGGTGGAGAGTCCCTAAAGTGAGAGAAAGAGAGAGAGAGGGTAAATATTAGTTCAAATTTCTCCACAGCAGCTACTGGCCAGAGGACGAAAAGGGACTAAAATATCACCTGGACCATGTGGAAAGTTAAAGATTCCAGTTTTAGGCATTAAAAGGGGCAAAAAGAGAGCTTTAATAAAGCAAACAGCCCTGATGATTTAATGTGGCCAACCTGACACTTAACAGAGGCAATCCTTCTAATAGAGCTGCCCTGATTTATCACTGAGACTCTCCACAATAGAGACTGTAATGGGCTTTATTCATATTTTTATTTTATGAAACACGATGAAAGGGGTCATGGTGGCCATTAAGAGGATTAATGGTATGTGTTGGGTAAAGAAGATGCTATAAAGTCTTAAAAGTTAATGCTGTCATCTGCGCACTGCTGTCCTGATGGAGTGGGAGGGGCCACGTGCAGCTAATAGACATAATTCAGCCAGGTAATGTCGGATCGCTGGGGAACAAGATGGATATCTCTTGGCAATGTTATGGGTTGTGCCGAGGTGTGGCGGCACATTTACGCAGGTTATTTATGCTCTATAATGAAGAGCATAATGAAAATTGGACACAACTATAAATATGGGCAAGGAAAGCGTAATGTGGAGGTATAATCATTGATGCAATTAAGGTGTCGAACACATGCAGTGTGAGCCGGCCTTTCCTGACTTTCTTCCCTTCCTTTCACTAAGGTGGTATTTTACTCTAAAGCATCACATTCAGTCAGCGTGGGGATGTTGGCATAAATCCTCTGGTCTCGTACAAGGAGGCTGGCATTTGAAATATGTTAATGCCAAAGCAATAAAGTCTTTGCTCCATCTATCTCAGAGGTTATTGACAGCTACTGTTACACTGAGAGTGCTGTTTCTCTGTCTTAATTGGTGTGTGCTCGTGTGTGTGTGTGTGTGTATGTGTGTGTGTGTGTGGACACTCTTATCTCTGAGTGTTTAGTTTTGAGTGTGAAAGAAAAAGAGCATTTACCGCAGAGTTCGATGCTCAGTCAGACCTGACAAGTGACTCAAAGTGAGGCAGAAAGGAGAAACAGAGGGAGGGAAGGAGATAAAGTCAGGTCAGGAGATCTGGGATGGAGACAGATGAGAGAAGAGAGTCCAGAAACTGAAGTGACCCTGCAGACCAGATGCTGATAAAGTGCCATCACTGACACTTTGTCGTCTCTGACTCTCTGCTGTCACTGTCACTCTGATGTATTCAGCCTTTTCTTCCCTCTCTGCTTATTCACTGTCCTTTACCCCGGCATCATTATTCCCCACCCATTTTCTTTTCTATATTATATAATAACATCGTTATGATTTACTTTCATGTGGCTTGCATCCTGAAAAAGGATGCCTTTTACTTTTACCTCCCCTCTTTAAACTCATTGCTTTGCATCCAACGTCTCACACTAAGAACTCGTGGGAAATGACTCACAGCTGCAGTCATTGTTTTGACAGGCTCATACAGGGACGGCGGCTTTTCACTGAATATTTTGATTTTTTCCTGTCACGTCAGAAGACCACCTCGGTTGCTAGGTGCCAAATGAAAGCTGCTTTTGTGTTGTCGCGGTGGAGCTAAAATGTGTTCTTTATGTGTCATTTTCTATTGAAATTCTTCAAGAGCAGTAACAAGCGACCGTGTTTGTTAGAAAGAACAAAATAAACTTTCAATGCAAAGTCTGTATCCACACTGAGAATCAGAGGTATGCTGTACGTGTTGGTTTTCATGTTGAAAATCCTGGTTCTCTGGCCTTTATATTCGCTGGTAGCTGCAGAGGTGTGAGGATTAATGGAGTTTGCAAATCCAAATCAAGTTCATCCACTGTTATTCCTTTCCCTTTAAACTTCAGTGTTTTGAATTAAAAGGCACAGGATAAGTGGCTCTCTCTATGTGTGTGTGCCACGGCTGTGTGACTGGAGTGCTTGGGTATAAAGCAGCCTTATCCATATGCGCATATCTGTTCTTTGAAACAATGATCTGACGCGATGTGACAGAGATGAAAGTGAACAGATGATTTAGAATATGCCTTCTTCATCTTGAGGGTATTATGTTTGAGTGGATGTAGAGTAGTTCAAGATATTACAAGTTAGAGATCTGACATAACGTCTGATGTAACTCCCGTCTGAAGAGCTGTATTTCTCCCCTTTGCAGAAACACCACCAGAGACTGCCAGTAAATAGGCAATAGGTTACCTGACGCAATATTTTATCATTGTTATGGTTTTATTTGATGAAAACAATCAACAATAGTAACATTTGTGAACTCATTTATAAGTCTCACACTCGGTCAAACATTACATACAAAGAAGAAGAACAAGTGCATCTCAACAAGCTGACAAAAATGCCTTTTTTTTTTTTTGAAAGATGAAGGATGCTGTGGTTCCAAACAGCAAAATATGGGCAACAAAAAGAGGGACTAGGTCCTCAAATTTTAACAAAATCAATCTTTAAGTCATTGAGTCCATCAGAGCATTTCATTGTAGATTTTGAGCACAAAAACACCTTTTTTACAAGATCTTAACATGATATTTTGTGTAAAAACAATCGATTTAAGCAGACAAAAAATCCGTAGTTAACTGAGCCAAGGAATTTTCTATGCTTGGTATGATACAAATAAGTGTGTGTCAACATCTCTGTCATTTCTCTCTCTGTGTGTTTTTTTTCGGTGAGCTGTCAGCCTCCTCGAAGTCTCTCTCTCTCCTTCACCGCCCTTCCCTTCCTGCTCAGTGTTACAACATGCCACAATGTACCTCAGTGTCAACCAATCAGGAGTCAGATGGGGCTTATTTGGATTGGCTGTTTCGTTTGCAGCCTCATCTGAGGTGGGAAGAGAGCTAGCAAGATAGTTACTGAATGATGCAACCATAGTCATGACTGAATCAAATTATGAAAACAGTAACGTCTCTGGTAGGACAGTTAACAAACTGTGTAAACCCAGTCAGGTCAGAGGAGAAGGTGACATGGTTGAGGTTTCCAGGTATTATTACAAGTGCCTCAGGATGTTCAGTCTATATCCTACCAACAGTATCATGGAGAATACATGTATACATGTATTGTTATGATATGACTGAACTCCCTTGGAATATAATATCGTGGAAGAGCAACTGCCAACAGTTCAATATCCTAACAACACAACTTCTCCTTGACAGTTCTGCGTGAAGAGTTACACCATCTCTGGTTGACACATAAAGCGAGACCTTCTCCTTTCTTCTTGCCACTAGCTTGAGCATCTCCATCTGAGTCATGAGAGTGAAGCCAGGTAGATCCACACTGGAGTCCGAGTTGTTTTGGTTCAACCGGGTTTCAGTAAATCACAGGAGACTGCACTCACGGTATGCTTTCTTAGGGCTCTATTTTGGTGCTTCGCCGGAGATCTGCCGCAAGCGCAGCGTCAATCAGATCCGCCGCGCTGACAAGGCGTTCCCAAGCACATTTTGGTATTTTGGTGAGCCGCGCAGCCCGGTGTAAGTATCCCCCCTCCCTAACTCAGCTCCTCCCGGCAGCATAAATCATAGAAGGGGAGGCGAGAGGGCGTATAGGGGTTTAACACAGCCGAGACCTGTTTTCACCAATCACATTAGCTCCTCTCCTCGCCTTTAAATCCGCCACAGGCGAGGCGTATTACTATTTTCATGAAGTAGTCAAAGAGATCAAGAGATGTCTGAAGACAGTTATGCCACACGATGGCGACAGAGGGCAGCTGCTCAACAAGTGTCCTCCACACTCTCTCATCTGAGCACAGATGGATTTGGTGTGCGTAATGTTGGACCCACTGGTAAGACAAACACCCTTTTCCACAAATAAAGACACTCACATAAAGTTGCATATATTCAAAACTCACGTGACAAAGGTGGGTTGAGCGCACAGATCACAACATAAACTCCAAAAAGGCATTAAAATCGGAACCATCTGTGCGTAAATGACGCATCGCGCTCCGTGGCCTGGCTCTTTCTTTCATAGATGTTGGCATCTAAAATAAATTTGGCTCACAAAACTGAATATTATAATATCCGTATGTCGGCTTAAAGTAGATAACGCATCTGAGCACTGAAACAAATCATCTGTTCAGCTGCAGCAGCAGCAAGACGGACAGAGGACACGGAGACGTGTCCAGGTCGAGCTGTGCGAGAAATAAGAGGAAGAGGAAGAAAGAAAAGGAGGGAGACGAATTACATATCTTGTTAACTTCATCATGTGTGTTTATTTACTAGATATTTAATTTAATTTGATGCGGTTTCAGCTGTGTTGATTCGGTCAGGTTGTGTGTCCAAACGCGTGCCAAACGCGCTCATCAGATCAGATATAGATCAGAATATATCGATATAGATCTAAATATATGTGCTGACTCAGATTAATAGTTGATGATGATTATTTATTGCACTGAAATGTGCCTGACACTGTGGAAACCTGCCGGTGAGGCATCAGTGACGTATGTCGATACGCCACCGGTCTACCAAAATACTACAAGACCAGCTGCGTTCCGCCTTGCGCTGAAAGCTGACCAGGTTTGAATCGGCGAGCTTTCAGCGCACTTTACACGCCGGTGGCGAGCACGAAAATGTCACTGCGCCAGCTGATTCTGTCGACACCTCCCCCTGCCACACCACCACGCCCAGCTTGGCGGATCTCGGCTCGCCTCCGTGCGGCTCATGCCACGAAAATACCAAATTGGCCTTACGCTGGGCTCCGCCAGACGAAAATACAACTGCGCGGGGCTCGCCGCCCTCCGCCGCCTCACCGGCGCGAACGAAAATAGAGCCCTTAGTCTTCATCAGTTTCTCCAGCTCGTTGCTTTTGTTGAGTTGACGTTTCCCATAATGACTGATGGAAGAAAGGGTTTATATCTCTATTTCCTAGCCTTCAACTTTGCCTTCACTTTTGCACCAGCACAGCAACTACAAAAATACCTCCAGATGTCCGCCGGAATTGGATATTGTTGTCCAGATATGCGCCGTCTCAATGAAAGAAGCTCATCTCTTGAGTAAACTCTTCTCCCAGCAGAGACAATTGAAGGGTGCCCTTTGTGCTTGAACTGTTAATGTTAGGAACTGTTGATAACACAATATTAATATATTTGTATCCTTTCTGTCTAAACTCTAGCCATTAACCACATTTCAAGATTTAAAGTAATGTAAAGATAGCATTGGCAGGGTTGCCAGGTGTACGATAATTATTGCACTTGTACGATAATTTTGCCCCCCATACGATGTACAATCAGTAACCCAGAAAAGGGCTAAATGTATGATAATTTGACAGTTTTGTAAACGTGTGGCACAATAGGACAGTCCCAGACACTTTATTTTTCAGTTTTTATTTGTCAACCCTGAAGGCATCTTTTACCACGTAATGTCTCCGAATAACAAGCATGATTGGCTGTCAATCATGCTCAGTTGGTTAGTCAGTTGAGAAAAATGAGCTGAAGAGGACGGTGATTACAGGGAGCCAAATCCTTGTGTGAGGACAAGTTGATTTTTGTGTCTAGAATAGATTTCACTAAGTTGAGTCAGATTACTCTTTATTTCCTTGTCAGTTATTATGAATACTGTATCAAAAAAGGAGGTGACCTTAAGGTCTCATGATTTGGCTCATGAGTTCCCACCTGTCATTTGTTTAAAGAGGACGCATTAGAATAAGAAGAACTTTATCCCCGAAGGGAAATTCAATTGTCTGTTGTCTCACATAATATATCTCTGAAAGTTATCTACTATTTACACAAGAGTTGTACAGTCTGATGGCTGTTGGTACAAAAGATCTTCTGAATCTTTCTGTCCTGCAGCGAAGAGAGAGAGGAGCCGTCCACCACCATTGGTCCTTTGGTCCATCAAGGTGTTTTGAAGTGGGTGATCCATGTTCTTTAGAATAGTCTTTAATAGTCATTAGTGTAACACAGCTGAGTTGGAGCTGCTGATTATACGCTGCAGATGTGGGACGGGGTGGTGAATGACCACAAAACTGTAGCCACAAAATCGTGAGTGCCTGTAGGACAGTAAACAGAGTGACTACATGTGACTATCAACAGTAAGATTGTTGTTCTAAATATGACGGGTGTACGATAATTTTCCCAAAAATACAATCATTTTGAGTCTCTGATACTAAATTCTATATTTTCCATCTGGCAACACTGAGAATTGGTAATCTTATGGGTACCTGCCATCAGGAATGGGTAACCCTTCAGCAGATCGGCTAAAGTCATGCATCCGTAATTCAGAGCTTTTAAGTGAGCTCTTTATGGTCAAACAACTCCCTCTGAATGGAGCTATAACCTTCATTTGAATGTTAAAATATGTAAAGGGACACTGTGTGTTGTGTCCTTGTTAGGCAGTCTGGGCTGGGATGAAATCCCTCAGGTTAATCTGTTTAATAGCAACTATCCTAGCTGTCACAACTAGACTGAGACAGACACTTGCAGGCTCAAATGACTTTGTTTTGTCCCTGTCTGAGAAAGCCCCACTGATTGGGAATGTGTGTGTGTGTGTGTGTGTGTGTGTGTGTGTGTGTGTGTGTGTGTGTGTGTGTGTGTGTGTGTGTGTGTGTGTCTGTCTGTCTTAAAAATAGAGCCACATAGACATTGATTTGTGTTTGGTGGAACAGATCAAAATTGCCCCCTCATGCTTGTCCCAACTTTTCCATAGCAGAGTGTGCATGTGTGTGTCTTCAGCGTGTCTATGCCTGCATGTGAGGATTTTGTGAGTGTGTGTGCCTACACAACATGGCAGCCTAATTCTGGGGCCAAACCCTGTCATTTTGCGCCTGTCACATTCTGTTAAGTGTGGCTCACACTGCTTCCTTAATTCCCCACATTCCCTTGTCGCCTCCAACGTCGAATCCAGACGCTCATAAACAGCATCTCTCAAAATGGCATCGGACTCATTACACTCCACTACACGCAAAGAAAGGAAAATCCAGCCACCTCTGCCCACACGCAAATAACAGCAGCGTCTGGTGACGTGCCAAAAGAGAAGCTTAATTTCCTGTCTTTCTAATATTTTGTTTGCAGCTGTGCCAAGCCTTCAGTATGAGCTATGTGGAGGACACTTTCAAAAAATATTATCGGTACATTGATATTACTTGTGATCTAACTGATACCTAAGGTGAAAAGCTTATATTAAATGTTAACTTGATACTTGTGACACGACTTGATACGCTCTGAGAAACACATATTAAAATAGGAGATATCAGAAACCATGTTTACGTATTTCTTTTCTAGTATCAGAAGTGAGGCCGTGAGAGGAAGGTGGAGTGTTCAATGTATGTGTGTGAGCTCCAGAGTTTGTGCCATACTCTTACACATATGAAAAGATGCCAATATGAGATCTACAGCTTGTGTTACAGATCACAATATATTGACATTGAAATGGGGCCAAAGAGTTCATTCTGATGGGTACCTTACAAAGCAGCCTCTGCTACCAGTGTTTAAATGTAGCCTGAATGTGACATGTAATGTAAAAGTGCTTTGAGTGGTCAGAAGACAAGAGAAAGCACTATACAAATATAGTTAAAGTAGTATCATTGCTTGTGTTAGGTGTTAATAAATCAATACAGACCTGACTTCAAGGCCTCTTTGCTAATATTAGGCCCTATCATAAATGCACAAGTTACCAGGATACACAGTTTGGGAGGCCAACTACAACGAAAAGGAGTTGCAACTTCAACAAAGTCCAGAAAAGTAATATAAAATGACTTAAATGGATATTCCAGCGTAAACTGAAGTTAGGTCACACGCACCGTAACACCAAGTTAGACACCCCGGCGAGAGATGAGTGTTGCCGACCGCTTGCTTCTCTAGTTATATCAACTTCAGTAATGACTGCACGATAGCAATACACAGCTGTTTCAGGAGCCACACGTTTAACCAAAACACCACTCTATAGCCACATATAATGCTCAGAACAGCACCTATCTTCATCAACAGTACATATAGGGTCCTAGCCATCTTTGCTAAAAAGAAATCAGGCAAAGACAAAAAGATGTTTGATGGCTAATGCTATGGCTTGGACCCTATATGTACTGTTGATGAAGTTAGGTGCTGTTCTGAGCATTATTTGTGGCTATAGAGTGGCTTTTTGGTTAAGATGTGTGCATGGATCTATAGACTGCTGTGTATTGCTATGGTGCGGTTGTTACTAAAGTTGCTATGACTAGAGAAGCAAGCGGTCAGCAATATTAATCTCTCAAGGAGGTGTCTAACTCAGTTTTACAGTGTGTTTGACCCTAACTTAAATTTTACGCCGGAATATCCCTTTAAAGTAACACAATACATGTGAGCCTCACACCAAGCTCATAAAGAGAATTGTCATTGTGGATAGATTTCCCCCAAACCCATGAAGGGATTGCCAAAAGCAGCTACAAACCAAGCTGGTCTCATGCCTGATTATTATGATCTGTATTGCAACACTTAGGTGAACTTGATGAGAGGGAGATAGACCTTGTAACTAGACTTTTTATAAGGGTTGTGCTGCTGTGTGAGAAAACAGAGTTTGATGGTCTGTAAATCATTCAAAGCTTATATTTAATTCAAAGACACTGCAAAGATGATAAATCAAATGCTGAAACTGAAAAATGTTATGTTTTATGAAAAAGTACTTGGCTCATTTTAAATTGATGCCAGCAAAACATTTCAAGACAGTGAAGACAGAGCAAGAAAAAGCAAAAACATCTTATTACTACTCAGGTTCATTTGCAACACCCTGATAACATGTCTGCACAAAAAAAGGACATTGTGGAGAGACTGAATTTTTCAGAAGTAAAGATGTGAAAAAGTCTGCTACTCCGCAAGAGACTGGGTGAAGAAATAGTTCAGATAATCCAAAATAATGGTCCTGAGCATAAAATTGGGAAGGAATGTTGACAATATCCTGCTTAGGATGTCACAAAAATGTTTCTTATATTAGCAGTGTATGAGGAAATGTATTATTCTTATTCGTATTCAATAAACCCCTCAGATGTACCTTCTTATTTTCAAGGGGGTTACTCTTTTAAATTTCCAAATCACTCTGTAACCAGGATAGGTGTCCAGCTGCTATGGATAGTGCCAGTTTCATATTCAATAACAGGATTCACTAGAAGTCACACCTATAATTGGCAGGACATCATTAGGGCTTGGGATAAGGAGGATACAGCACTTCATTTTTATTACATTTTTTGAGTTGATCAAGAAATCATACACTTTCAGCAATAAATGATATCCTTTTCATTCTCTCCATATGTTGTATATATTCCAACTTAGCAATGGTTACTCCTAGTTTTAGTGTATATCGGCTGCAAGATTTTCTTTTAGAAGGGGGGATAAACTTAAAAATCATGCAGACATAAACGCAGCCCTGGATTCTTTTTTTGCTTCATAAGGTTCCTCCGGATTAAGACTTTGCATTAGTCATTTATTATTGCCTATCTGGGATATACGTAATCCTACTGGAGTCATGTCTGATGCCACTCAAGGACCAAGTCTTACATCTTTTTTTTTTTTTTTCTTTTTGCAGCACTATGAAAAAAATAAAACCTCCCCCTTCAAAGGTTAGCCTCTGACTTTGCTAACCTTTGGACTTTGCGTGGTAGCAGACAGTGTCTTGATTATAAACAGATATCTGGTTGCAGAGATAGTCATGGTGCATTGAAGTTCTTACTGTACAGTGCTGTTGGTTCAACTGCTTTACTTCCATATCAGCCTATACATGCAGCTCCCATAGCCTATTGTTGCGAAAGGTTAAGTCCTAGAGGGTCAAGTGCACCATCCAGTCAAGCCAAGTACATTCCTATCTATCATCCGCATGAGTTTATCCCCTGTACGTGTTATCCAAGGAGGCCAGAGTAGAACTGAGGTCAAACCAAGTGTGAAGCAAGGTCAGTTTTATATACTATAATGACCAAAAACTGTGTACAAGCACATTTACTTTGGAAAGCTTTTAAATCTGTACAGCATACAAGACTCTTTATCCTCAGATGTACCCCATTCTTTGATCTGAGTCACAAGAATGAGGTTCAACACCATGAGGGTCTAAGGCAGAGTCAATCCATAAGCATGAAGGATTACTTATAAAGCAGCCCTGCCATATGGAAATGTCACATGAACCACGGATATCTGATGTTGAGGAGCATCTGCACAATTCACCGGTGGAGGCAAGATGAGATTGGTGGTATTATATGACAATGAGTTAAAATGCCACAGGGCTGAAAATTCAAAGGTCAGTCCCACCATAGCCCCTTAAAACATCTACATGTACTCCTGCAGCTGGTGGGTGAGTACTTGGAGCGAGGCCACGTGAAGCTGAGTGGCACTGAAGGACTAAGACTTTAATGAGGAGTGACAGCCTCCTCCATGAAAGTTTATCAGCCTCTTCGGCTAATATCTCACAATAATCTTAAAAGTGTCAACAAGTTGCAGACGATCATGCAAGTTATCGCTGGGGATGATTTAGTTACAGCGATTATAATGTTTTGGTGGCTCAATTGTAAATTAAAAACTACTGTGTTGTGATATTGCTTAATTCTACGACCAATCAATCCTGCACATGACAGATAGTCCAACATTACATTGTGAGAAACTTTGTGTGTGTGCGTGTGTGTGTGTGTGTGTGTGTGTGTGGGAAATGAGGTTCAATCAAGGCCTCCATTCATTTTCATAAGGAAGTGTCAGCCAGTGGCATCAGACTCGTAATGGAAGCTAAATATTTGGCTGCTGTGACCTTTTTTACATTTATAGAGGCACAACAGTAATTCTCTCTCGGGCGGTGGTTCATTTCTTGCTTCCTTACTCACAATGTCACTGTTGTTTTTTGACTAACAACCATTGGGAAATGAGGAAAACTCAGTTGTGCTGGCAACTCTTATGCAAAGCTTGCAAAACAGGCAGTGATGTCCTCTATCAACCCTTATTCACACATTCACAAAGACATAGATGTGCTCTTTCTGTGTGTGAGAAGCAAGTTTCCAAGCTTTTTTCACTGAAGCAGGGTGTATTTTCAGAACTGAGAGTCTGCAGCCAGTGGGGAACCAAAAGAGAGCATAAAGTGTTTTGGTCAAAGGAGCTTTGGCTTACTGCTGGGCAAAGATATGAGACGAAATTTATACTGCACTTATACACCAGCGCCCCGAGCCAAAGGAAATGAAGGATCGGACTGGCCACAGGAGATCTGGCTGGAATCAGTCTTGAGGGTTTCTATCTCACCCCCAGGGAAGTTGGACAACGATTACTTTAAGCACTGCCATTGCTTTCCAACAGGAAGAATGTACCAGAAGATGTTAAGTTGTACTAACGGCAGGCAGTGCTCAGCAGTCAATGTAGCCTGAATGATCCTACAGCTGATCGCACCATATTCTTTCTAAATCCATCTTGAAGTTTCTGTTTGAATAAGACTGTTTCACAAATAGCTTTAGCATGTTTTTCAGGCAAGAAACTGAGCTCAATGTCAGAAAGATGGTAATTCTTTTGTAAATTTAACTGTTAGGTACGTTTGAACCAGGACAAAACCATGACGGTTATATGTGCATTCATAAATGGGCACTTTAATACAGTCCTTTTGAGGTTACAGGTCTTGGTGGAAGTTTAGTTTCAAGATATTCCACCCAAAGGGATTCGGCTTGCCAGATGGAAAATATAGAATTATCACACCAGAGGCTCAAAAGTATAGTCTTTTTGGGAAAATGATCATACACCCATTGTACTCGAAAAAACAATCATACTGTTGCATGACAGTCACATATAGTCACTCTGTTTAGTGTTCGACAGGCACTCATGATTTTGAGGCTACAGTTTTGTGGTCATTCACCTCCTCGCCCCACATCACAACGTATGATCAGCAGCTCCAGCTCAGCTGTGTTACACTAATGCGTCCTCTTTAAACAAAGGTAGGAACTAATGAGCCAAATTATGAGACCTTGAGGCCACCTACTTTTTTGATACAGTATTCATAATAACTGACAAGGAAATAAAGCGTAATTTAAGTAACTTAGTGAAATCTGTTTTAAACACAAAAATCAACTTGTCCTCCCACGAGGATTCGGCTCCCGGTAATCACCGTCCTCTTCAGTAACGCTCATTTTTCTCAACTAACCGACTGAGCATGATTGACAGCATATCATGCTTGTTGGTCAGAGACAAACGTCACTCTAAACTACAACTGGATGGAAACATCACATGGTAAAAGTTGCCTTTAGGGTCCAAAAATAAAAGACTGAAAAATGTGTCTGGCAGACTGAGACAGTCCTATTGCACCACAAGTTTACGAAACTGTCAAATTATCCTACATTTAGCTCTTTTTCTGGGTTATTGATCGTACATTGTACAGAGGGCAAAATTATCATACAAATACGATAATTATCGTTCACCTGGCAACTGTTTTTCCCAGTGAGATGATTTTAGGACTCTGCATTTTTGTCTTTTTAGCCATTCATGCTGAAAACCAGTTTACAACAGGATTACAGTTTGTATTAGTATTCAAAGCAGCAAACCAGATAAGTTTGGATGTTTTTGTTTGTATGTGGATAAAAGGTTAACAGCTCAGAAGATTGATGTAGCTGTGGTTATTTTGAAGAGTTTAGTATGCAGAATACACATGGTGAGCTGCGTAAGTGTTCAATTTGTATGAAGAGGCAATGAGTTGTTGGACACCAGTAGGTCAGTCCAATAGTTGTGTTGCAAACAGTTGTCTGATGACATGGGATGGAGCTCGTATTGGTGATGACATTGATCTTAAACAGGTTGGACACCATAAAAGCAGAACAATGAGCAAAGAGAAATTGTCATTGTGGGGTTATCATTCTCTTTGGGCTCATCACTATGAATAACCCTTTTGAAATATGAATCAATCCATTGTTATTATGAAAATATCTATCATAGGAATAGTTATCACTTTAATTGAAATGGCAAAAACAATCTGGATGAGAATGAAATAAAAGACAGAAGACAGATCTCAGTGTTAGGTGTCTCAGGGAAAGGAGAGTGTTGTGACAGCTGAACAAATAAATATAAGTTCCTATACATTTGAAGCTGTTTAAAAGTACATAAGCTGATAAAGGAAGCGTCCTTTGTGAATAGAGTGAGAGAGATTTTCCATTCACTGCCACAAATGCTGGAGGACACAAACTCCTTCACAGGGCCTGTGTGTTATGATAGTGATACATGAACCAATGCCAGGATGGAGGATAAACTAAAAATATGTTTGTGGTTTGTTAGTCTTATGATGACACACGGCTGTAAACATCAACAAATGCTTTGAGGATTTGGAGGTAATCATATCAGTATTCTTGATAAAGATGCATGACATCTTCTGATGCTCCCCCGAGCCACAAGAGGAACACAAAGTACACATAAAGTTCTCACTGATCTTTAATCAATTTCTCCCGCAATAAGCTGCAGGAACAGGTGGAGGAGGGTGTTGCATTAAAATTCTGTTTCATTTCACTTCAAAAGAGGCTTTTAATGTCTGACATATATCCCCTGAAAATGGACCTGTCTGAATTATCCCTGTATTGGAAGTTCCTGCTGTCGACTGAATACTGAGTAGTTACCTTGCCTGAAGTTAGCCTTTGTTTTACTAAGTCTTATGCAAGTAAAACAAAGGTTAACTTTTAATCTATCTGCCTTTAAGGACCTTCAATAAAATACTGAGAACCCATAATATGAGTGCACCAGTATATACAGTAAAGATGCAGTTCTTGCTCTTTTGAGGGTCTCTCAGAGGGGAAAAGGTTTAATCTGTCATCCTGCATGACAACTTCCACTGTGTTCAGCCAAGTCCACAAAGCAAAATTTTGTGTAACTGTGCAGTCGGCTCTCACAAGGCCTATGTGGTTGGAATCCTGCTGGCTGTCGGTGTAGTGGTTGAGCTCAGTCTACAGTACTGTTGACAATTGTGAAGTACAGAAGTTGCTGTACTCCACTCTTCTGGTAACCTATTGTCTTTAAGAGAGGAGTCTCTCCTATCAAACCATCAGTCCACCAGCTTTGCTACTCAACAGACCCATTTACAGCTTAGGTCACCAAAAATAAGTGCATTGAACACGAAATGAAAACAGTGCCCAACATCAAGATATCTGGTTGTTGTGTGAACACTTGGATCCTGGGCTCCATTCTTCAAAGTTCTGACACAACCAAAGTGACAGGTGTTTCAGTTTAAAGCGCGGCTGTGTGAGCTGGTAACCTTCCACAGTGGTTGTTATGACTGCTTTTGAATCACAGAGTCCCCACATATACTACCTGTAGGAATTTTATATATTTTAATGTCAGATTATAAACATCTGATATGTTTTAAAAGAAAAAACTGAAGGCGATTGCAAGTTGTTATCAAGCACCAGTACTGAGTTAATTTTAAGGCCAAGACAATTATGGCTCAATATGGAGAGATCAGCCCAGAGGCAGAATTCACGTTCACATTACAACAAATAACTTGTGCTATCTACCATGACAAAAACACACAATGATTATTTCCATGAGGTGCAGTTCTGGTGGGACGTGGTCTGATCCCAGGTCTGACTGTTTCTATTGACACAACACTGGGTACAGCCAGTGAGGGTGGACAGGGTCAAGTGTCTCGACTAAGTATACATCGGCGTGTGAACAATTGTTTTGGGTTGACACTCCAGCAGTAACTGCTTGTCAATGTCATATTGGTCTATAGGTAAAATGTACTGTACATATGATAACATACCTCAAAGAAAGTGACACAAAGCAACTTAATAACTGCTAGGCCTCTGTTTTTTTCTCTCCCTATGCTAAGATCTGAATATCACCAAATTTTATTCAGTGCACTGATAAACCAAGAAATACTTTTGACTTTTTGTAGTCCTGGTACATTCCAGCCCTCTTTCAAGGCTAAAAAATAATAAGTTAGCTCCAAGTAATCTGTGCGACACAACATAACTTTTAATGAAAATACTAAATCAATGAAAATTGTTTTTAAATATGATTTTGGACTAATGATGTGTTTCACATTTTCTTGTTTTGGGTTTAAGAGACTAGATATAAAATATGGATGAGTAAGTTTAGTTTTTAAACTGCCCTGATTGCTGCAACAGTAAAAAGCACCATCCCTCTCTGGTTCTATATAAGTGTATTTTGATTTAATTTAGTGGCATTACATTTTAGCTTAGCCTTGCAACTCACATTTGAATGGTTTTTAACGTATATAGCAGCAGCAAAACGTTGTTTTTGTTTGGCATTCATTTCATTTTACATGCAGTAAATTGAGGAGTGATGAGATAGCATATTAACCTCCAGTAAAAGCCTGCAGATGGATGCTGGGGTAGTGGAGGTGGGGCTGGGAGCCTTAAGCTGAGCAGCAGTGGCAGTGACAGTGCAGCTGCTGAAAATATTGTTGTCTTAAAGGGAAAGTGAAATCATGATGAAACTGTGTGAAAATCAGGTGTGAAATCAACAGCTGGAGTTGCCTGCCTGAACTAGCTCACAGGCATTGCTTTGCTTTAAAAAGAAAGACTTTTATCACTGACTGGAATTGTGTGAAACCATCTATTACATATAATAATAAAAAAATGATAAATATATATATTTTTTAATTTTCAAAAAGTATGTTTTGTGGTAAATTATGTATATTTGTCACATTTTGTCCCTCAAAAACATTTAAAAAGGGTAAAAAGGTTAATTTTTTAAATTAGTTTTCATCATTCAGTAAATGCTTTTTATTAAGTAGTCGATGAGTGTGCTAATGTTTGCAGAAAAAGTAAATCAAATGCGTGCCAGAGCACATTATAAAAACAATTTCACTTAGCAGTGCATCAATAAGCTGATTAATGAGGAGTGCTTATTGTTGAGTGTAAAGCATATCTATATGTGTAGAGAGAGATTGTTTTTTTTTTGCTTTTTTCATGGGAAACAAAAAAAATGCCTGCTTCTTAATCCCACCAGATTGCTTTAAAGGTTGCCTTCAATTGATTCCAGCAGCACTAGCAACAGGAATTAATCCTGCATAAATCATACACTAACCTTGAACGTGGCTCAAGCCAAACTTTCCATCTCTATTAAATCTATGAATTATAATTAACATTGCTGGCAAGTCCAGTGTTACTTGCTGTGGCCATATGCTGCTCGCTCTTAGCTTCACAACAGCTGAATCAGTTGTCGTCTCTTTTAACCAGAAAACACAATATGACAGCGTTTGGCAGAGCCTGTTTCCTCCTCTTATTGCTACCGTTGCTGCCAAAAGCTTATTACTTTTTGATGAATTGGAGCAGCGTGCCATTAGGGGGCAGTGTTGCTCTTCTGCAGTTCTCACACAGGTTTCTTGGCCTCTTCTAAGGCTCAGCATTGATTCATTAGTTTATAAAATGTTGTGTAGACTTTGGTGTATTGGCTTTGGTCCGCTTTGGCTCTCCACCTCTGCTCGCAGACAGATTAACAGATAAATGGATCACCACAGAGTATTCTCCTTTTTGGTGAAATCAATATACTGACCAGCAGCTCCAGAAAACAGACTAGATCTCTCTTTGTCCTCGTTTCCAACTCACTCCAAAAGTACTCAAACTTTCACCTTGGAATGAATTATTCCAAGAAAGAAAATATTTTAATTGACTTAGAGCACACGAAAAGGTTATTATTCATCATTCATCAGAGCTTCTTCAATAAATGTTCACTTAATTGTGAAAAATAACAGTGTCTTAAAAATATTCAAACATGGAGCATGATGGAAAATCTCTCAAGCTTTGCTGGATTTCCATTGCTTGTTAAGTATATTGTTAATTTCAATGAAAATTAATTTCTTTTCATTTCAATTTTGTAAGGTCAACTAACTTTGAATAGCTTAGAGAGAGTTTACTATTATCATTAAATGTGTCCTGATTGGGACTGGCCTCGACTGAGCAGTTTGTGTGCTCGAAATAAAACGAGAAACTGTGGGTGCAATCCTTTAGGGACAATGATAAGGAGAATCCTCTCTTTTTTAATGAATCAATTGTGTTTCCAGCAAAAGAAATTAATTTAATACCTAAATATCGCTTATTGAAAAGACAAAGGAGTTTAAGGCTCTGCAATCAGCTCAGATAGTATGGCACTTAATTTGTGTTAAATGAAATATTAAATGAAACATCATTAATTAGTGAGAACAATAGAAGTGGTTGTTAAAAGGATAGAGTGAAGGGTAAAGTCATATGCGTGGATCAAAGCTGTTGAGCTGAATGAAACTTTATGATCAAACACTTAAAATGAACAGCTTCATCAATAATGGATAAAAAGTGCAATCATTCCTATCCAAGTACACGCATGCAGGTGTCAGGGAGACATGAAGACATTCGTGTTAATAAGGCAACAGACGTTAATCAGCCTGTGAATCAAGTGGTTTCATTCATGTCGACTTGTAAAGGCTGTATAAATAATTTCTCGGTGATTTTATTTGATGTTAGCATCCCTGCTGTTTGTCAAAGTTCTGTTTTGTAAATGTGTTTCTTTCCTTTTCTGTCAGAAAAAAAGGAGGTATGAAGATGTTGAGATTCTGAGGGTAACATGGACTGCTGAGCTTATCCTTTCTCTCTAAGGAGAAGAAATATTATGACAGATACTGTTTTCCTTCTCCCTCCGACGACATGTTGTGCATTTTTATGTTTAAAACCCTCCTCAAGTGAAACAGCACGACTGGATATTCGACAAATCCGTTTAAATCTTGTTCCTCGGCTGGATTGTTGAATAATTGCTGAAGCACCGTTTGTATTAGCAAGGCAGAGAGGCCTCTTAAACCTCGGCCCTGACTTTTAGACGGACTCTTAAGACAGTCACGCCATGAAGGTCATCGATTATTCAACACTCGGCACCCTGACCAAGCAACACAAAAGTGTCCCTGAGAAAGAAAGCCTTTGTTTAACATATTTAATACCAGCCGTCTGATCACACACATTCTCTTTGAAACCATGGAAAATGGTAATTAATTTTTCATGGTGAGAATTAGTATCCTAATTTGGAAATGTGAGATCAAAAGAAATATTTTCAAAAGCTGGCTAGCAGAAGAAATCCTTCGTGGCCGGTGACAAGAGGCTGTGGTGTTCAAGATGTCCCTGGTGGCTGCATCATAGCAGAATGCAAAGATGGATTTACTGTTTTTTTTCCTCCTTCTTATGCTGAATCACATTAATACAGTGTGTACCCATTAAACCATGGCAACATTTATAGGAGGAATGAGTCATGCTGATTTTTTCATTTTTATTTATTAGTGGAACAGCCTGCCTTCTAAAATACATAGTCCCCCCAAATTCTGCCTTCCTCTGCTGGTCCTTGCACACCCCATTAGGTTGTACAGTGCGTGTTTGACAAGAAGCTAAATGAGCAGTGCACACATTCAGTACATTGCAATAGGAGCAATTGCATTAGGTCGGGATCAGTTCTGCAGGCTGGATGAAAGGTCGCAGAGGTTGTGAATCACAGAGGAATCCTAATCAGGCCTTGTTGCAACTCTAATTAATTACAGCCCAGAGGGCAAGAGATCATACAGAGTCCTACAAGCTAACACACATGCAAACACTGACTCACACGCACAAAACAGAAATGTATCCATGGATTGTCTTACCCTGGTGCACACGTCAATCTATCATGTTGAATGCTGTCCAAGAGTTAGCTGATGATTTGTAACTTAATCTCATGTTCTACCTCTTTCCTTTTAGCCTGTTGCCCGCGTTTGACATGTCCTATTTTCAGATGATAACTTGACAGTCTCCCTGCCTGGACTTGTTGCATCCCGCTGTTTTATGTGCCAGACAGCTGGGGTGAAAACACCATGAGAGTCACAGTTTCCTGAGGATAAACAATCTATAAAGAAAAAATCACTGTATGTATTTTCTGGGATCTGTATCAGTTTTTAAGAACTGACACAGATGCTGAACATGTAGATATATTTTTCCCATGTCACATTTACTAATAAGAAAAACAGCACACAACAGAAAGTATTCAACAGCAGCTCTTGTAAGAAAAGATGGGCTTTTTGGTAAATTAGATTATCACGCTTCCTTGCTGTGAGTAGGAGGGAGCTTGTTGGCTTGGCCCGGGCGAAAAAGTCAGCAAGGGTCCGTCCAAGGATGCAGTAGCATCTTTTTACCAGCAATCCTTAAACTCTCCAACATGTTGTCTCTTGATTTTAACCAAGCTGTACAAAGACAACAAGAAGTGTTAGTTTTTGTAGTAGACCTTCTTTTCCTGAGGGACTGTGACCACATGCCATGTCTTTGGCATCACAATGTGTCAGCGACAAGGATGAGTTTCATGGATTTCATGGAAAGAACTTGACAAAACATCTGGGATGAAGACAGTAAGCCTACTTTCATAAACTTAACACAGTTGCTCCATCAGTGGGGGTTTATTTTAAAGAACCTGTTTCCCCAACTCTTAAGCTTGATGTGAATCCTTATTTACAGCACAAGTACAGAACGTTTGTTCAATAAGATAGCGTAATGTCTGTGAGATAGAGAGTAAGTCAACTTCCATAAAGCCTGGCACACACTCAGATACTTTAAAAATCTTAAACCAGACATTGAAAATGTCAGGGACCCTACACATGACATCAAATGATGACGAACTGACCAATTTCGTTCCTATAGTGGTGTGCCACATGTGGTGAACACAGCATTAAAGCACTTAAAGACTCTTTTCACCTGCCAGTTACAACTTAGGTTATAAAAAAAAACCCATGGAGAACTACAGGAGCTAAACGTTGTCAAGACTTCTCTTGACATTTCAGTCCTGGTATGTTTTTTTGAACACGTGCAAACTCTCATGTTTATGCCATGTGAATATTTCTGATGTCCCTCTCAGTTTATACTTTGTGTTGTCTGTTGTTCCCATGTCATGCTTTTTCAGGTAGCCTACTTCCCCATTGGCTATTGTTACATCCCTGCATGTTCAGCCATCTTTAAAAATCCCCTCACACATTAAGGTTTCAGATCATAACTTTTGAACATGTTAAATATTTACAGTTTCAAGTCAAGGATGCTTACTGTGGATGAAAATTTACTTTTAACACACCTCACAACATAGGATAATCAGGTAAGATAATCTTTAGAGCCATCTGTTAGTAAGGCTTTGCTGACTTTTGCCAGAAGGGGGGAAATGGGTCAAAAAATTCAACATGACTAACTTGTAGCACATACAGCACTTTCATATCGCCTTGTTGCCTGGCCAGTGGGAGTTTAGTTGACTTGACTTTCTCCTCACAGCTAAGTCTGTTGGGAATTGGCAGGAATCAGAGGGTCATCAGTTCAGGTCCTGGCAATGACCACATGGAAACTGTGCTGGCAGCTAAAAAAAGTGCCAGTTTACTTTGTGGAGACTGCCAATGTGCCCTTCAGCAGGGCACTGAAACCAACTGCTTAGGGTGCCGACCCATGGGAAGCCCCCTGCCCCCCTTTTTGGCCTATTTGCATATTAAAGAGCAGTGCTAAAATTCAATTTCAAGGGATTAATACAGTATGTATTTGTCTTGTTAGTAAGAGGACTAAACAAAATTGAAAAAAAAAACAAACATCTGGGAATATGTCTACTTCCATAAAAGCCATGTTGTTTCTGTAACAGTGGGGTTTTATCTTACATATCTTATTCATGATACAATCATAAACACATGGGGTAGTATATGTTTTCTAGTGCCTGATAATTTATGTAGTATGATGGTACATAACCACGTGACAACGGTCTCTATTGAATTCATATATGGATATGTTGAATACTGCATTTGTGTTTGTGGCAGCAGCATTAAAAAGGCCGGTGTGTAGGAGCTTTGATTAACAGAGGTGAGGCCAGCCGGAAGTTTCCGGGGCAGCTCTGTGTGCAGCAGTGAGAGGAGCAAAGGCCAGCCAAAGCAGGAAATCACAGGGTGTATGAGGTCGTGTGTGAAGGAGTGTGCGTGCATGCATAATGATGATATTTTTTTTGTAAATTTGACAGTGATGAACTAAATTTTGCTGACTTGCAGATTCTGGCAGTCATGTCCAGATGATCATTTGCTGTAAAATCGTGATCTTTGACAGGACTAAGATCAAAACAGGCCGATCAAAAAAATTAAGGTGATGAATCACTAACAAAAAAAAAAAAAAAAAAAAAAAGATGGTCCACATGAATATGTTAACCTTGACTTTAACATTTTTGCTAATGTGCTGAGTAGGGGGAAAAACACTGACTTAACTTCGATAATGCCAAGTTCTCAAACTCATACTGATGCAGAGTACATATTTTCCTAATCGATTTGGGAGCAAATCCTCCTCTGAAGGCAAACAGGACTTTAGTATTCATGGGGGCATGCGTGCCTCTCACTATGTTAATAATGCTGTCTTCAGAAAGGCTCAGGCTATAATGAGGATTCACAAATTCAAATCACAGTCGGCTACATATGTCAATGCCATCAATATAGCAGAGCTCAGGCTTTACAGTTTCCGCTCGGTTTCTGACACAAGTCGACTTCTTGACCCCTCCCACCCCAACAAGGAAGCTGTAGGGAAGTTATCGTGACTCCCATCAGATAATGACAAGATGATGGCTGGCCTCTGGCCCTGGCTTCATGGTTTACAGGAGAGCTGTTGGCAAGCAAAGGGCATTAAAGGAAAAAATAGAGAGGAAAATGGAGAGGTCTAAGCACTGCTGCTATTTACTACTTGTCAACATGAGTATCACAGCGTATGTGATGCAAGCAGAAGCCGGAGGAATACAATTTGCTCCACTTTACTAAAATAGGCTTGCGGTCTTTATTTTTACATGCCCTCTCCAGTTACTATGTATAGGTTTTAACTGTTTTCTTAAAATGAGACTCCATCTCTGCTTTAACTATGTTTCATAAATCTTTAATAGGATGGGTACATGAGAGTCAATCTAATTTAGCCTCGCTCCCGCTCTCTGTGTATTGAACAGTAAGTGTTTATGTAAATGAGAGCTGGCTAGCAACTCTCCCTCTGGTCTGGTCTCAAAGGATGTTATTTATTCACATGGAAAAGAGGCAGTTTAAGAGGGAATTGTTTTTACATCAAGTCCACACTTGCATGGATTGTGATTTTTGAATTTAAAATGTTAGCATGTTAGCCTAATGAGCTACTTGGTAGCTTTAGCTCATTTCCTCATACTCTATATCATCATTAGATAAAAGACTGCAGAGTTGCCATGTTAAGCTCCAATATCCCTTTGACTCTCTTTAAGCTTCCCAGGCTACTCCTCTGTTTAAGACTTTCACTCCTAAATAGTTACTTTGAAGAATGAACTTCAGGTCATTATTGCCAAAGTACTTGATTAATTAAGTCGTTAGAAGAGAAAGCGCAGAGCAATGGTTTGCTGCCTTTTGGTCAACACTTGTTTGCTTCTGTTTATTAAAAAGGATCCTTTGGGTGCGGAGACCTCTTAAATGGGGTTAGAGCTTGTTGAAAGCAGCATTTCACAGTGAATAATTGGATTGCAGCTTTGAGAACGCATGTGTTTAAATGCTGGGATCGAACAGCGCCTGGGGTGTGTTTACCTGAGTAGGCTCCCTTACTCCCACCCTCCTATGTCTGCCTCCTATCGTCAAACTCTGCTCTCCTCTGTTCAAATCAGTCTGATAAAGGATATCCTCTGCAGTCCCATCACCATGGTGACTAATCAGGTAGTCTGCATGTATGCACACTCATGGTCTGCTGTGTGGAGATGATGGCAGGGGTGTGTCTAGATCTTTTTTTTTTTTTTTACATAGGTGGCCGTAACTGGAGCAACATGTGTTTCCTGCTCTGGGCGTGTTAACACATTCTCATGTCAATGTAGTATTTGTATTTTATCCACTTATACTACTTATATTAGCGCGGTTTTTGGAATTCAAAATAACACATTATTGTAGCACAACCCTTGAACATTTAATTCTCTGAATGAATTTGTAAAATTCACGGTAAAAAGCACCTAAAAAAGATAAATAAACTTTCAGAAAAGCTGAGGTCAGCGGGTCAGAATCAATCAACTACAAACAAGATGGAAGAATTGTTTCCACTAACTCCCTTTGTACAAAAGTAACACTAATACTCCATGTCATAGGTGTTGATGTTACATTTTTCTAATCATAAAATGATCAATTAACTCTTCACCCATTTTACAGAAATAGATATGACACAAAATATGTTTAATTAAAACAAAATGTAAGGGTTTGGTCCATGTTGTCTTTATTTATAAACATAAATGAGCTGTGACCTACACTGAAGCAGGTCAGCAAGGTGTGCTAGAAATGTTCGCTTCACTTTTAGGGAGCTGTTGTGTCATCCATCTTTTAAACTTACTGAAATTATTGAAGTTCCCTTAGGGGATTAATAAAGTTCTTCATCTTCTTCTTATTATTATTCTTATTTTTATTCTCTAGCTGTGTCCCATTCCAGGTCCTGTATCCTTCCATGGACTTGGCTGTTGTTGCCTGTGTAGACCAGTCAGATCAAACTGAATTGAGATAGTACCCTTGAGAGAATTGCGTGTTTACATCACTACTCCAATAGCATCACCTAGTGACGCGCTTGCCATGTAGCTACAGGTGGATACCTGGTTAACATTTGCACAGCTCACTACTGAGTTCAAATCAAATACTATTATTTTATATTAGAAATATTATCTATTACTAAGCATTGTGAGAGTTGGCTATCTTGATTACATGAAAAGAATCATGGGATAGAAGGGGCCGCAAAGGATGCACCTGATGCAGCCTTCATGGCCAGGAAAAAGTGGGACACATTTGGGGGAGCCTTTGAAATGGGACAGCTTTGATGCTTTCGATACAAAGACGGGTGCTGTGATGCGTCTTCAAATGCGGCCTTCGATGGCTGCAGCTCCTGGATTGGACCACAGCTAATAGAAGTTTTGCACATACTGGTTTCTCATCTTTCATGAGTTGAGATCACGTGACAACACTTTGAATCAACATGGAAGTGTTCAGAGAAAGAAACAAGGGTCACTTTAGACATTTTACAAGGATTATTCACGGGATATTGGCTTGACTGGCGATCACAGTCAAACAATGAACAAAAGCTGGAAAAGTTTAGGATTCATCACAAAAAAATGGTGGAAGAAACTTATAAATTTGCTCTTAAAAAAACGGTACAACAAGCAGGGCCTATCCTGCATAATATATTCTCCAGTGGTGAAATGAACAAGTTTTTGTAGGTATGGCCTCTGGCTTACTGTTAATGGAGTTGATGTTGAGTTATTGCTACAGGGGCCTAAAGACAACTGCTCAGGTACGTTGTGACATTTGTTGTGCCTACCTAAGGACCCCTCAAGCATACAAGCACCAGATTGAGATAGATCCCTTGTAAACAGATGACACATAATTGTAAATCAGAAAGATTTAATGGGAACAGTGAAAAGTGGTCATGATTATTCAGGATTTTGGGATGGCAACTGCAAGGTCAAACAGATTTCAAGGGGGACTTATGCCGCTGAAGATCGCACCCTCAAAAGAGTTCCTGGATAATGGTGGGCTGCTAATCCTTCAGCAGAGAGGGACAAACTTACCGATAGATAAAGGTACAAGCTGCAGACATAAAGAGTATCCACACTAACACACAGATTATAAATGTACCCATAGATTACATTCACATTCAACTACTCTCAAAAGCATGTAAACCATGTCGGTGAGAGTTAGAAAACTCTCAAGACGTGGAGTACAGTGCTAACAAGCAGAAGTGAGTGGCTTTGACAAATTGCTCTGTGCTGATGAATTGGTGTGTGCGTACTTTGGCTAACAACACTTGGAGTAATGAGCAGGTTGCCCCTAAAGTAACCTCGACGTGCTGAGTTACAGTGATAGATGGGTTTTTCGATGGTTTACACCTTCGCTTATGTGTGTGAGCGTGTATCTGCAATTTTCGAAGTCATGCAGGACTAAAGGACTTTATATCGAGATACATGATCAGAATCCTATCCAGGTTGCCACAAATGTCCCAGGATTTGATGTGATCACAGCAGCGCCAGACTATTTGTGTGCCTATAAAGGCAGAGTGGAGCAGAAGAGCCTGTTCAATAGCTTTTACTGTTCAGGGGATGTTGCAGAGAGACCAGTTGCTCATCTGCAAATGGTGCACGAGATGCCGGGCCAGAAACATTAGTCAATGGTGTTGCTGATTTCAGACTTGTTGTTATTTACTCTGAGCAGGAAATGTTACCTCTCAAGCTGTTTGTGGCACTAGAAAGCCTCTGATTTTGTAACCTCCTGGTGGTACTTGGGTGTATCTAAAACAACTGTTACTGAAATAAACATACAGACATTGCTGCCTCTAAAGCATACCTAACATGATCTCCTCTCTACAGTGTCCAAATCTTCATGGGGAGAATACTTTATAGCAACTTCTATATGCAGCTGCATAGTCTTTAAGTGCACCATCTTGTCCTTGTATGTATTTCTTTATCAAAACATTGCATGGACGCGATTCTCGGTAATGTTGGATCACTCTGTTGGCTTCAACTACACTTACTCCATTTTAGCTCCCAAGTGAGAGAAGCCTTGTTCTGTGAATAAGCTCGAGCATCATTGTGCCCTCATTTAGCCTTCCCTGGTGCTGAATGACGGCTGTTACGAGCACAGGTTCTCACAACCTTGACAGCTGCGGCAATCAGCTTAAATCACACACTTTTATGACCCAGCTTTCTACCCTGATACACTACACTGAATGAGATGTTTTATAATTGGAGAAGCGCAGCGCTGTTGGTGGCTTTAGATTTACAGTTGATGGAGTTATTAAAACACTAGTCAGCGGTGCCTTTAATGCCCGTGGCTGTTTGTGTGGTGTGATGCTGCTATTACAGCGTGAAATGAAAGACTAAACACTCTGATTCATGGAGTTGGCACTGTGATGGTCACATCTCTCCTTGACCGGCTGGTTTATTTGGGCAATAAAAATTTACCTTGAGTGTAAAAAGTCAGAGGATTTCATATTTGGAAAGTTACCTTGAAACATAAAACAGGCTGGTTATTTCTGAGAGGCAAAATATTTAGAGACACAGAGTGAAACCAAGCTAAGAGAGGAAGTTTGTGATTTGATGAAAGACTTAGATTCATATGAAGAACAGGTAAACTTTTACACTATCATACAAGGGGGCATTTTTCCCTTGCTAGTGTGCGGCATTTGGACATTCTTTTTAATAAGGTCCTGAACTTCATCAAGACACACAGTGTGGTGCCATTATCTGCACCCAGAGAGCCACGCAGGGCTCCAGTAGCTGATGGGATTAAGGAACAAAGAGAGTCATGGGATTAGTCTGGAATGGGCGATGTGCCAGAGTCTGAAAGGCAACCATTTTGTTTACCTTTGTCTTTATTCTTTTATTCCATTTCCTTGATGTTGTGTTGTGACTCCCTGTCGGGGGGCGGTGGAGAGTGATATCTTGTTTGGCTCCTGACAGCACCACTTGGAGAGGAAAATGAAAAGAGATGGTGATAACACCGAGGCTCACGCATTCACACACACCTCCTGCCGGCCTGTCCACCCCACGCTGTTCATAGGGCAATTCAGGCCCGGCAATTTAGGGCCGAGTTAAAGTGGAGGGAAAAAACTAAAAATAGTGAGGCAAGGCAGGAGAGAGAGGGGGAGAGGAGAAGGAGAAAGAGACCTGGGGAGTGATTGGTGGAATGGTGAGCGACAGATGTAATTTTCAGACAACGGCAGGGAAGTGATGTAATTTTCTGGGTGCAATTTGTGTGTGTGAGTGTGTTTGTGTGCAGGTGTGCATTTGTCTATGGAGTGTGTGACAATGCAGATGCTAAAGTAGCACTTGGATGGAGGACTCGACAACTGAGGGAAACAAAACATCTCATTTTGGCACTTCTTTTTTTCTGGGAGGAAAAAATTGATGTACGTTTTTATTTTTTTTTTCTTGATATAATGGCCACCTTCAAAATAAGGGGAAGTTTTCATCCTCTGTGTAGCTTAACTCATTTGCACACAAACACATTTGTTTCTCCACAATATGAATACGCCCTGTCATGTAGTTATTTTCTTTTTTTCTTGTTATTTTTACAACTCAGTGATAAAACCACATGCACAGCAACTGTAATCTCCTGCAAATGAGCTTTACAATTTAGGAAGGGCACAATTGATATTGCTATCAGTGTAAATTGTGACTTTTATTTCGCCTCTCTGTTGGACTTGCCAAACTAATGTTTCGTCAAGACAATGTTGTTTGATGCATTTTGCTCCTGGCTGTCTTGGTAGACAATTAGCATGACAGATGAATTAAAGAATACGAGGCCATTCTCTGCGGGAGATGGATCCCTCCTGCCCAGAATTTATCAGTTTATTGGAGTCTATTTTCATATCATACAAAGAGAAACATAAAAACTTTAGTGTTTGGTAATTGAATGGTTTAATGACATCCCTCTCAAAGTGAGCCAAGGACATCTCTGTTTATTAATTTGAACTTTGAATGCAAACTTAAAGTGCAATGACAATGGACAAAGAGCCCATTTGAAGGATAAGGCAATATTTATTTTATTATTGGCCAATCCTATTAGAAGACGAAAAACAGTGATGAATTTATTTTATTCCCTAGTTCTGCCTATAAAGCCAAAGGCTGAGGTGGTTTATCTCTCTGTGCCATAGACCTGCATTGTTGTCAGGAATTATTTCAAACATGAAAATAAGCAGCAAGGCTCAGTTTGAGTCAGAAAGAACAAGAACACAAAATTCCCCAGCTCAAACCCAATTTTTCTGTTTTTATCTTTTCTTTCTTTCTTATTTTTTCTGATTTTGGGCCACACAAAAAGCATGTCCGCAAAAACAAAAGTGTTTGCACCGTTAATACTGTCACACAGGATTGATATTAAAGGTCCTATGTAGTGTTTTTTTTTTGTAACATAAATCAAATAACCTGATACACACATCGATACACACTAAAGCCAAGTGTCAGCTGAGCAGCTGCAGAAACAGTCCTGTTTTTACAGTTTCCACACAAAATATTTACAATTAAGCTACATTTGACTGTCGAAAGTCAGAAAAATTAGACCTTTTTCGTCAGTAGACACTACTTTGGCACGTAGAGGACAGTAAAAGCAAAGACTGATTTGATATGAACCCAAAGTTTCTCACTGCGGCTTGTCTGGCTTTTCTCATCAGCCTGAATATTCTGTAAACATAACTCAGAGTGAGTTGCAGCGTTGTATCCGTCATTCTTTCTTAGATCTGTAGTTTCCTAAAGTGAGGGTCACGACCATAGACTGTATATAGAATGGATGATCATCGCAACATTCATAAAGTGATCTATTTACATATATTTTTATAACAGTAATTATTTGTATTTTAGCAGTGTAAAATATTTTCTAGAGTAGCTTGCAGCTATAACCAGAATTTTCTGAACGTACTTCTTTGGCTTTCATTATGCTTACCTTGAGCTTGGTCATTCTAGACTCTGATTGGTTAATTCTGTGACATGAGACGGAATTAAAAGGAAGAGCGGTTGTTGCTTGCATGCTTGCAAATGTGGCTGCAGTAGAGGTGCATCTGAGAAATTATTCTGCTATTTCTCACTATTAGAGTCATCCAACCACCACACAAGGGTTTATCATGGTTTTCTTTGATGTGTTGGCACGATTTTATATTTAGAAACATCATATTGTACTTTTTTATGGGTTTCCAGCAATTCATTACTAACAGACACTATATTTGACGGTGTTTTAACCTGACTGACACCTCTTTACCCTCTCGTCTACTCCGCTCACTATCCGCTCTTTGATTAAAATCAGGATTTAAAGCGAGTGTCACATTTATTTGCTCTCTCTCTGACTGTGACTGATTGTGTCAGATTAATCTAAATAAAGCCTGCGATGTCACGTGGTCACCATAAAGATGACAGACCGCCTCTTGTTGTGAAACTGTCCTCTCTCCTCATCTTTCTGTCATTATGTGGACAGCAGGTCAACCGTGAGCTTTGACTGAGACGACAGATTCTGTTAGTCAGGGCTCCTGCTGGCCCTTGCATTAACCAAGCTTCATTGGGTTTATTGGGGCTGGGTCATCATGTGACTGAGTAGATGACATAGTAAATCCTGTAGCTAGAGGTTACAGAGAACGGCAGATATATAACAAAAGCCCTCATAATCATCCTAGATAATTGGGTAGTTTAAAATAAGACCCCATAACCAATCAGAGACAAGAACCAATTTTTAAAGGTGTAAACACACAGGTCATGACCACATCTAATCACTAAATCTATGCAGCCTGGCAGATTTTATTTGTGCATTCACCTGAGGATAAGACAAAGTTTATTGGCTCCTCTGGTGACCCCCTCGTCCTTGTGAATCTCAGCGGGACTGTAAGTGTCTTGATAGAAGGTTACCTTTCAGTATAAAACACCCAGCTCCTGCAACAACAACTTTATAGAACACCTGTGGGAGCGGGACTTTATGGGCTCATCGGCTGCATGATTTTACATTTTGCAGTTAGCAAAGCGACATATGCTGCAGGTAACAAACACTGAGTCCTCCAGGCTCCTGCATGCAGATGGCGATGGTCCAGAATCAGTCATGTTGTTTTGTGCCTGAAATTCAAAACCTTTATGATTCTGCAGAGACAACACAGCTAAGCATTTAAAGAGGGAATATGCATTATATCACTCTGAACCAAGGGGTGAATTCTCAAGGAGAATATTTGATGATTTCACATAAATATGCATACATTTAACCATAATCAATGTCAAAACGATGAGTCAACAAGAGTCACTCAAAGTGTTAATACTCAATTAGCACCCTATTTTAAGAGCTTTGAATAACTATGCCCATTTGCATGCATTTTGCATAGCCAAGCTGGCAGAGGCTGACTTGAGAGAGCGGTGGTTATATATCTTCTTGCAGCAGAGCACGTTGATCCTTTTGGGGGCTGTTGAAATTCTGCAGAAGCCCAGTTTTCATTTTCATGGCTGCATTTACATGCTGTCCTACTGTCTGCCCCTTTGAGTTATATCAGGGGGCTTTATCACCTGAAATAAAGCAGAGATAAATGTTGCTGAGAAAGTGTAAAACACAGCCACCCCCCCAGCCCACCTCAGCAGTATCTGTGTGTGTTGCGCACGCACATCAGCGGGTATGTGTACATCTCTCTGTGTGTGGATGTGCGTGTGTGTTATTTAATGCTCTAAATCTTGTGTGTAAACTATGAGCATTCTGCAGACTCGGCTTCTAACGCCTTTTCTTGCGGTTCTGCTGAGGATGCACTTTCTGCTCAGGGCTGCAAGAGGTCACCGTCTGACATAGTGCAAACACACATATGTGCACACTCATGCACACGCATAGATATAAACCCACTTTGTACCCTCCCTGACATTTGATGCACATATGGATCCTGCTGTCACTTAAAAGGAAGTCCACTTCCCTAGTGACATTTACCTGGGGCTACCAGGAATCATTAGTTAAGGTCAGTTTTATAACTTCTGCATGGGGAGGCGATGAGTAACAGAGCTGATTCTATCTAAAACACTCCGACAGGCAGTATGGCAAAGACAACATAGACATGTGGGTGGAGTTTTTGAGTAAAAATACCCTCTAAAACAGATCCAGCACACGTTGTTGCATATTGTGTGTAAAATTTCCCCAGAAATACTGCTCATGCTTCAACAGAACAATGCCTACAGAGAAATTTGAAACCCATTTCTCTCTGTATTTCCTCTGTTGAGGCTCAATTCTGTTTGCTTGCAACTATGGTGCCTCTGTTATCTTGTTTGTACTTAAGCTGTTTTCCCAGACTTGAGCTCCTTTATTTGGGGATGTTTTGGTGAACTTTTGAGCCCTCCTGAGTGGCTGACTCCACTCCCTCTGAAAACACAACTCTAGGGAATAAATCAAAGAGCTGTGCTGGGAAATATGCAGTAAATACAAACACAATTGTGTATGTGTTGGTGTCTATAAGTTTGTAGCTGAGAGGAGATGAGTATCAGTGGTGGGATTTAAAAGAGAGTCATGCACAGAGGCCATTGCTGAATAATTATTTTCCAGACTCACTCTTTATATTCCTTATAGAAATGAAAAAAACTTGTAATAGTCACTCTTGCATTCTGTGCACAACCTGATATCACACACTATATCCACTTACAGAGGAGCATTCACTAACTTGGGACTAAGTTTACTATGTGCATAGTAATAAGGAAGAACGTGGACAAAAGGAAATCCAACCTTTACAGCTCATAGATGCTAATAAATTTATATTAAGTAACCTCAATAGCTGGCTCAGAATCAGTTGACAGCAACGGACAGAAATATTCTGATCAGGTACCACTGGCGTAAGTTATTTCTTTCACTCACTGCACCTTTCTCACTGATCCATGTCTGAAATGACCAGGCCGGAGTGTCTGTGCAGACTGAGAAGAGGTTAACTGAGCACTGCAGAGGATCACCAGTCCCTTCAACACATACCATATACCACATGGCACAAAAACTGAATTAAATACAACATCACATGAATACAGTTTAGCCATATATGTGTTTGTGTGTGTGTGTGCATTTGGGAGGAGTTAATACAGGAAAAAATACTCCACAATAAATACTCTTTATTAGACTAAAACTTGCTTTTCGCTGATAAAAACACACCAGAGTGTAACAGAGTGAGGGAGCACAATGCATTGTTTCTACGCTCTGCAGGGCCAAGCTCATTGGGATCCTTTGCCAAGCCACACAGGACAAGAGTGGACCAGGCTGGAATGGCTTCCCTTATCGTGACTCGCTGTGACACCACATGCGTCAGCTTGGGAGGCAGGGAGGGACACAGGCAGGTAGGACACCAGCTTTTCAAGCCCCAGGCCTCTTCTTCCTCCTCTTCTCCTGTGCTCAGCACTTCCCGAGGCTAGCTTGTGGAAGCAAACTTTGCTCCAGTCCAACTTAAAAGAGTTTTCCTTTCAGTCAGCACAATTCTCTGTTTGTGTTGGATCTGAAATAGCCTTTCAGTTGATACATGGACACGAACATAGAGTCTAGAGTGGACATTTGTGATTACTGTTTGCTAAAACATGTACAAAGATACTAGATGTGTTCAAGAAAATGGAACTGCATTCCCAATTGGCTTAAAAAAAATCAATAATTGAAATACAGAGAATCCTGCTCCTCACGTAGAATGAGAGGGAAAAGCGGGAGTAAATGCAAAAGGAGGTGATGGACAGGTTGATTGAAGAACTAAAGGGATATCTGAGTGTGTACCTGCCTGCTGTGCCTGGAATAAAATACTGTTCAAACTAGTGTATTTAAATAATTTAATAATAACTGGGTTTGCTAATTAAGGTGAAAAATCCAAAACACTTAGGTTAATTATCAAACTCCTCATTGAAGTGAGAATAATTGTAAAAATGTAGCCTCTGGAGCAGCTTAGTAGTGTCAGGGAACACTGTGATAGCTTTAAATTCACCACATTTATTGTTATGCATCAAAATTCCGCTAGCAAGTGATGCAATGAAACTTGATGAGGGTTGGATGAGGATATAGAATAAATAATATAGCACAATATAAACTAACTAACCTGCAAATATACTCTGAGGTCCCTCAAGCGATGCTTACTATGTGACAGTTTTTGCTTTCATGTCCATCAAATCTGTTTATTCAAAGTCTAAAAATGAAATGTAGCCCATTAAAAAAATGGAAACTGAAATAAAACAAGACAAAGCGCGCTCAGGCATTTGACTGATGGCCCGTTTGTGCAGTCTGTGTTTATTCGCCCAGTAGAGCAGGTGTATCAACTGGACAGATGTTAGCTGTAAGCTAGCTAGCAACAGATTTACTTACCATGTGTGCACTTATCCTGCCTGTGTTCAAATCAGCCTCAAGCTAAACTCAGCACTCACCAGCACACCAGTTCCCTCTGCTATTTCCCGTCTGTCTCCTTCTCTCTCTTGTCTCAGTGTTTTTATGAGCAGATTCAAAATGCTCTTTGAGCAAAGTGAGATATTTGAATACTTTTGATACAAGTAAAGGGTAATCCAGAGTAAATCTCACTCATATTTGATCTGCAAGGCCTCGGGTAATAGTGAGTTATTGCTTTTGTAAAGCAACAGCACTGATAATTTTCCGGGTTTTGGCTATGCTCATGTAAAAATTGGTGCCAATGCCATTATATGTGTACAGCTGTATCTTATATGTCCCTATACATTTGTTCTATCAACGCAAGCTGTTTCTCTTCAGTGTATTAGCATCCTGGTATAAATGATGAAAATGTGTTGGTGCCACCATAAAGCTGTTTCCCAGTGTGTCTCTATTTGCAATCTCATATAGTCAAGAATGTTCTCCATCCTCAGACACTAACTTCAATTTAAAAACCCCAAAATATTTTTTAATTGACTAAAACTGGCAAATGCAACAACCTTAAATGAATCAATTAAACAAGACTTGCTTGCTAGTACTCAGTCAAGACCAAAGCTGGTTTTGCTCAAGTGTCAGCTTCCAGGACAAAGGAGGCCACTTTGAACGTGTTAAAAGCTTCAGGTTCTTTGAGTTCCTACTTCAGGCTTGCTCCAAAAGCACCAGATACCACATACAAACCCATTTAAAAAAAGCCAATCTTTACATCAAAAGTGAACATCTTTGCATCTAAAAAAAACCTGTCCTTCGATCACCCTCCTTAAAGCTCGGGTCCTCTACCAGATGCCTGGTAACCTGATGATTCTGCGCAGGATTTCAGCTGTTCCTAGGAGTGCACACTTCTGGACACGTATTTCAGATGTCGTTTCTGGTATCTGCTTGAGCCATCCACCCAGCTTGGGTGTTACACCAAACATCTTCTCTAGCTCTTCCTTCAGCCCTTGGTATTTCTCAAGCTTCTCCTATTCCTTCTTGCTGATGTTGCTTTTGCTCTGTATTGCTACATCTATCACTACCGCTGTCGTCTGATGTTGATTAGCTATCACCATCTTGTCAGTCTGAATCTGGAAATATACATATATAAGTAATCGGTTTTGTCTTTTTCTGCATCTGTCAACTTTACTCAACAACATTAATGCTAATCATCATGCTATATACTCTCTAAAAGCAAAGAGAAATCTGCTTCTTAAACACGTATGAACCAAAGAGACCATGGCGATGAACTTTGAAAAAACAAGCTGATTCTCTTTGCTATTGAGCCAAATAAAATGAAACAATTGGGAGGTTATTGTGAGGACACTGGCGAATTCACAACATTTCATGTTTTTCTTAACGTTTTATGTCGTCTGTTTTGTTCAGATATCCCTGCAAGAAGTTTGTCCAGGGGAGTTCTCATATTTTATTCACAACAAGACAACATTGGCTATTCTTATTTCTTTTTTTTTTTTCATTTGTTTTCACAGGAAGAAGTAAGAAATAAATATGTGGAAAACAAAATATCTTGAGAATTGATGTGTCTGCATGGATTCATCAAGTTTGTCAAACTTACCGAAGCTCTCCGTGGTGGTAGTTTCCTTGGTTTCCTTGCTGAGCTAAAATGTCACTCAAATAAATTAATTGTCTGAAATCTTTATGCAGAGACAAAGAGAAAGGGAGATGTGGATGAGTTTCAGGGACAGTAATTGAATCCCAGAGTTATTGATTTAGCCAGAGTATCACCAGGGGAGACCTAAGGCCATGACAAAGTTGTCTGTAAAACTCTGATTAGCATTTGCTGTACAAATAAATAACAGGCTCACCGTTGTCATGTTTCTCTGCGGTTTTATTCCTGCTCTCCTCTCTCTTTTCCTCTCTGTCCCTCCTCCAGACTCCTTCCAACCAACATAATCTACAGTAAGTACTACTCCATTTCCTCTTTCTTGTCTGATCCACCACCTCCCACCTCACGTTTTCCTCTCTGCCCTTTATCTTGCTGCCCTCAGCCGAAGCCAAAACCCCACAGAACCTCTCTGCTCTCCCACCCTGTGTGTCTTATTCCCTCAGTACTTCAGGGGAGAAATATATGCTTGTGAGGGTGCACACTTCTTCCAGCAGCAGTAAAGTCATGTTTCTCTCCCTGGGCCTGAAGCCAAAGGCCAGCGTTGGTGTTTTACTACGAAACTCCGCGGAGGCACAGGGCTGAACTGCAGCGATGGCACTTTCCCACCTCAGTCCCTGGCCTCCCCTCCACTCCCCTGCAGCCCCTCAGCCCCTGGGGATCGCTGAAGATAAGGATTGAACATCTCCGGATGCCACTTTGCATAAATGTTTAATAGCAGGGAAAACATTAGCATCAGTAATTAAAGCAGTAATTTAAGCCTAGACGCCATCAACAGGCGAGCTACTTCCACGCTGGAATAACACAAGTGAAACACAGTAATTAGCTTTGCTTTGATTGGACGGGAGACTGAGTTCAGAAAATGTGTGCTTGTGTGTGTGTGTATGTGTGTACTTTGGCACTTCTGCATGCACATTAAAAGAGGACGTACTTTTCGTGTGTGCAGGAGGAAAGCTCATGCTTGCACGATTCTCAATCGGACCCCCGTAGCTGTACTAAAGATTGATTGGCTGTGAATGTGTGTACAAACCCAGGGCATCCGTGTGTGTCAAATGGCATTTGACATTGGTTTGGACAGTGTTTAACTCTGGCCCGAGGAGGTCAAATATTGTCTAGCACTTCCCTAAGGAAGCTGATGTTGTCCTATGTCATCATCTGTGCCCTGTGAGCCTCTGCCTTCCTCTAATTCCCCCTAAACTCCAGACTCTAACCTTTCTTTCTATCTATTTGGCACCTTTGGGACAGAACCCTGCATTCTTTTTCATTAAAGTGCTATGATAGCAATATGGCTGAAAGGGGGGATGATATGTTTTGCTTTTTCCACTGGCATCAAAAATCGTTAGGAGAGCAAGGAGGTCAGCCTGGCTTGTATCTAGCTTTTAATGGGTCCTTAAAGTGAGGCCCCAGGGATGGGTCTATACACATACATCCCCCCACTCACTCATAAACACACACTCACACACGGACTCACAAAATGCCGGGTGTCTGAAGCCAAGCCAAGACCTTGCTCTCATTCTCCCTCTCTCTTTATTTCACTCTTTTTTAGCTCATTCTCTCCGCTGGCTCGCAATTCTCGCCAAATAGCGTCAGCCTTTGATGTATTGAAAACGACTATTGCTGGAGCATCAGTGCTGTTTTATGATTCTCACTCATCCTTGGCTCCGGTGGAATCTGCGCTCATGATTGTTTCTTTATCTTTTCAATTCAATCTTTTTCATGTCATTCCAAAGCACACCTTTTGTCAAAGTGTATTCCTATCACGCTGCTGTCAGGTACTCTTTTTTTTTCTTCTTTTTTTGTGTCAACACTGTTAAACTCATGACCCTTGACCTTGCTTAAAAAAAAGCACTTTTTACTTGTTGTGGCACCCTGCGGCTCCCTCTCAGCATGCTGATAGAGTTTCTGAGCATTTTAATTAACCGTATTGAGTTTGCATCAGCAGCGGGGTGTTATATGGTCAACTGGAAACTCACACACCCACACAACACACGCACACGCTGGCAGACACACATTCCCGTGCTGCCGTGCACACTCCTATCCATCCCAGCTGACAGCTTGTTAATTGCCAGGGGGTTAACTGGAAGTGGTGGTGTAATTGCATCAGAGTTTTAATTTACCCTGGCCCCTTATTTATTTACCTAGCCGTAGATTTTAAAGCAGCATTAATCGTCTGGGTGCGTCAGGACAAAGTGAGGATCGACAGGCTGGATGTCAGTCCGGAGTCAGATGAGGTAACTTGTAGAGCTGGGGGAATTCATCTGTACTACGGTGAAATCAACTGGGGCGCTTTACACTCCTAAAGCAGAATATGTAAAAAAAGAAGATATTAATTGAGACACTGTGATGTTCCTTAAAGCTCCGGGGTATTTCCTCCACAACTGCTACAGTGTTTTATAATCTACAGCAGTGATGAATGACTAACCTCTGCATAGCTGTCTTATTATCAACGCTCTGTGCAGCTCAGCTATGCTAAAAAATACAGAATATTTTGGCTTATGAGGCCTTGATGCTTGAATGCGTGGCATTTCATGACTGCATTGACTTCCTTTTTCCTCGTCGATTTTTTTCCCCACTTCTGACCTCGGAGAAACAGCAAAGCAAGACGGCCTTGGTAATCAAATTTATTTGACAGGGAGGCAACTTAAAAGCTCTGCTGCCGACTAGCCTTTAGTTCAAGGCTTTGAGGAGGGTGAGGGGGAGATACTCCAATACCTATGAAGTACACTTTAGAAAAATGTCATCTTCTTGATCTATCTGACCACAGTGGCTTTGAAAAGTGACTATTAATTGGAAATTATGAAATCTGTTTGAGTCAGGGTCTTATTCAAGATGAAAGGGTTCTTGGTATCTATATGTTGGTGTGTTCATCTCTGTGTGTGCTAGATTGTGCGTCAGGATAACTGTGTGAGGAATGTCAGGGAATAGGGTAAATTCCCAGAAGCAATCCAGATCTGCAGCTTGATGCTTCCTGCCTTTGTTCAACCGAGCCTCTATACCATACCCGGACACATCCACACACACTCACTCACTCACTCACTCACTCACTCTCTCCTATGAGCCCATCCATCCATCTCCTTGACATGATTGTTCCTATCTTGTTACTTTATGTTCTAATCCATCAGCTATGAGTAAAACAGCAATTACACAGAGCCATCGATGCAGCCAGCAGACAGAGTCAGAATTATGGCATGGTGCATTACTGCAAATTGCTATTAAAGTCCCTTTTTTTCCACCAGAGCATGGGGAGCAAGTGGAGAGTAATGGACATTCATAACAAGGCACATCATTAGAATTAGGCATCTCACTGTTTTAATTGCAGCTTCCAAATTTTTCCACACATGCGCGTGGATCCTGCAGAGTCTGAGTTGTGGTTTCTTTTTTTCTGCCCTCTTTGCTCCTAAAGTCAAAGCTCTCACTTTGTCGTAACCGGCTGTGCTGCCTCTGCCTGCTTTTATCTCCACTTTCTCATTTTCTCCTTATCTGTTTTACCACGTAATGTTCCCGCGAAGTTGTTTACAGTCATCTAACCGCGGCTAGGATGTTTGTTTTCGCCTAATTCATGCTATAAAGTGAAAGTGAGACATGAAATACAACTTTTCCTTTTGAAATATCAGAGTGATGTATAACACTCTGCACGAACAGCCCAGAATTCAATTACTTAATGAGCAGCAGAATCACCAACTAGCCTCGCATGAGGACAGCAAAAGACAGCATATGTTACAAAAAGGAGAATGATGGAGGATAGATGGAGAGAAAGGTGAAGTGATGAGCGCTGTCCTATAAGCCTGTGCTCCAGGAGATGGATGGTGTGCATGTGGGTGGAGTTGTCCTTGGTGTGGTGCTGATTGTGTATGAGGTGGTGCTCAGCAGGACAGATGGTGCTAGTGGGCAGATGAGTGAATAATGATATTTCACCACAGAGCAGTAATTACCTGCTCCTAGCCCCGCATGGCCCAATGTATGCACTGTATGGATGCTTGCACACACACACACACACACACACACACACACACACACACACACACACACACACACACACACACACACACACACACACACACACACACACGAACAGAGTCATGCATGCCCTCATGAATCTCCACATACAATGCGTGCATGTCTGCATGCTCATAAACACTAACATATACAATGCTGATAACGCAGCTGTTCTAGTCCCATGACTGATAGAGAGACAGATCTGATGCAACACTGAGATGTGCTCGGTGATGAGAAATGTGCGAGTGATTTAAGCACACATCAGGAGAAATCTATGCAGGTACACAGGGAGTCACCTCTCTGAAATACAAGTTACAGGGATTTTACAGCACAAGCTATGACAGGGTTCTTAAATCCCATGTTTTTTATCTCTGCTTTCATGTTTACTGCTCTTGGGGCTCTGTGATATTGGCAGAACAGACAGACAGAAAACAACACAACCTGAGTTTGTCTCTTTATGTGTTTTGCAATAACACGACCTCAATGGTGTAATTTCTTGGTCTAATTTAGCCAAAGGTGACTTGGCCTCAAATCAGTATCATGATCAGCTGAACAATTTACCTCCAAAACAATAAATAAACCACTATTGTCCTTTTTTATGTTAAGGTTTTTATTTTGAGTAAACTAGGGTATTCTTTCTAATGAGGGAGTGCTGGACACACTTCTGTTAATTCATCAATCATTATTTATCAACATGATTTTTATTAACCTTACACATAGATGTTATTTGAAAAGCAGTTATTAAAACCCTTCAGTTGTCTTTAGTGTAGTTGTTTTTGTGTTAATGTTGATGAGATTACTGTAGACTGTGCTGAACTGGGGACTGATGTGAAAGACTGGACTTTATGGGCCAGCTCTTGAACATGACAGTACTATGAAAAGCCATTTCACTTGAACAATACCGTTCAGGAATAACAGTTCCTGGATCCATTGTCCATTGTTGTCATGGAACATAGGTGTCATCCAGTTGCAGGCCCAGGGTGGCTAATCAGGAGAACTGGGACAGTTCCCGATAGGCCGGGCTGGTTACAGGGCTGGTTTACAGTGATAGCAGATATATCACAAGAGTTGCACTTGATAGGTTTACTTTTAAGAGTTATACTGAACAAAGTTAATGCTAAGTTTCCTTGGCTTGTACTAAGAATTTTGCTGAATATATTTAACATATACTTAAACTTTTGATCAAGGGTAGTGACTCGGGCGCCCTGAGAGTGGCAGCAAGTCACAGCAGCTCCTCAACGACTTCACGTTTTTGCGTTCTTATTGTTGTTTTTTTGCACCTTTTTATCTTTCTCTTCATTCAGCAGTGTCGTGTCTGCATATTCCAGCCATGGATGTGCAGTTCATGACTCTAGCACTTTGTTTTCTTTTATTTTTCGGAGTTTTTAAGTCCGCGACCGGCGACCCATTTAGCGGCCGCATTGTTTACAGCCGTGAACAGCTGTTGGCGCTGCGCCAAGCCCGGCCACCTTCGTGGGAGAGACCGGACATCCCCGCTAAGCTCCGCAGGAGAAGGAGAGGATGCAGGGCTGGAGTTCAGCATCGGGCAAAGCGGAGGCATTACAAACCAACTGTCCCGTCCATCATCATGGGAAACGTGAGGTCTCTCCCCAACAAGATGGAAGAGCTCACAGCGCTAACTCGGCTGCAGTGGGAGTATAGGGAATGTAGCCTCATGATGTTCACGGAGTCATGGCTGAACGAACTCACTCCGGACCCGCTCGTAACTTTGGACGGATTTCACCTCGTCAGAGCGGACCGGAGCGTGAGGGAGAGTGGTAAGAAGAAAGGAGGCGGGATAGCGGTGTATGTGAATGAGAGATGGTGTAATGCTGGGCACGTCAGTGTTAAAGAGCAGCTCTGCTCTAAGGACATTGAGCTGCTGGCTGTGAGTTTGCGGCCTTATTACCTGCCGAGGGAATTTTCGCACGTCATCGCGTTAACTGTTTACATCCCCCCTCGGCTGAGGCTGCTGCAGCCTGTGAACTCCTCCATAATGAAGTGTCCAAGCTACAGACATCACACCCTCAGTCTCTGATCATCATCTCTGGAGACTTTAATCATGCATCGCTGTCCTCCACTCTCCCTACCTTCAGCCAGTATGTAAACTGCCCAACAAGAGACAATAAAACTCTGGACTTACTGTATGCAAACACCAAGGATGCATACACCTCCTCCCCGCTTCCCCCGCTGGGCCGCTCAGATCACAACCTGGTGAGACTGCAGCCCATTTACATACCTATGGTGAAGAAACAACCCCCCACCATCAGGTATGTTAAGAGGTGGTCTGAGGAGGCCACTGAGGCGCTGCAGGACTGTTTTGAGACCACAGACTGGGATGTACTGTGCGGCCCACATGGTGATGACATCGACACCATGACTGACTGCATCACGGACTATATTAACTTCTGTGTTGAGAACACCGTACCCACCAGGAAAGTACGGTGTTTCTCCAACAGCAAACCCTGGGTGACCCCGGAACTGAAAGTCCTCCTGAAGGAGAAGAGGAGGGTCTTTAAATCTGGGGACAAGGAGGAGCTGAGGAGGGTGCAGAAGGAGTTGAAGAAGAAGATCAGAGAGGGAAAGGCCAGCTACAAGACCAAGATGGAAAACCTTTTGCAACAGAACAACGCAAGGGAGGTCTGGAGAGGCCTAAAATCCATCTCAGGTCATAGCAGGGGCCATGAGAGGGGATCTGAAGCAGGAGACAGGGAGTGGGCCAACGAGCTGAATCTGTTCTTCAATAGATTTGACTCTACTCCCACTCCTCCCCCGACTCATCTAACCAACGACCCGTCTGCTGCTCCTCCTTCTTCTTATTCTTATTCACACCACCTCAGTCCCATGGCACCGACACCATCAACCCCCCTCCACTCATCCTCCACCACCCCCTCCAGCACCACCCCCAGCCTCTCCATAACAGCTGACCAGGTGAGAAGTGAGCTGAGGAAGATGAAGCCAAGGAAAGCCACGGGTCCTGACGGCATCAGCCCCAGACTCCTGAAAGACTGTGCAGACCAGCTCTGTGAGGTGCTACTGCACATCTTCAGCTTGAGCCTGAGTCTGGAGAGGGTCCCAACACTGTGGAAGACTTCCTGCGTGATTCCTGTCCCCAAGACAGCGCACCCTAGGGAGCCCAACCACTTCAGACCTGTGGCCCTCACTTCTCACCTGATGAAGACTCTGGAGAGGATCGTGCTGAGGAACCTCCGCCCCCTGGTGAGCTCTCATCTGGATCCTCTGCAGTTTGCGTACCAGCCGAACATCGGGGTGGATGACGCAGTCATCTACCTGCTGCAGAGGTCCATGGCTCACCTGGAGAACACTGGCAGCACTGTGAGGGTCATGTTTTTTGACTTCTCCAGTGCGTTCAACACCATCCAGCCTTCACTGCTCAGGGGGAAGCTCGAGCGGGCGGGAGTGGACTGTCACCTAGCCGCATGGACCGTGGACTACCTCACCGACAGACCACAGTTTGTGAGGCTTCAGAACTGTGTATCGGACATGGTGGTCTGCAGCACGGGGGCTCCACAGGGGACAGTGCTCTCCCCCTTCCTCTTCACCCTGTACACCTCAGACTTCAGCTACAACTCTGGGAGCTGTCACCTCCAGAAGTTCTCTGATGACACAGCCATCGTCGGATGTGTATCGTCAGGGGACGAGCGGGAATACAGGACTGTCATCACTGACTTTGTCAACTGGTGTGGCACAAACCACCTCCAGCTCAACGCCAGTAAGACAAAGGAGATGGTTGTGGATTTCCGCAGGAGGGGGACACCTCAAACAGTTCCAGTGAACATACAGGGTCTGGACATCGAGATGGTGGAGTCCTACAGATTCCTGGGTGTCCACCTCAACAACAAACTGGACTGGTCAACAAACACAGACGTTCTGTACAAGAAGGGCCAAAGTCGTCTCCACCTGCTAAGGAGACTGAGGTCCTTTGGAGTGTGCAGGACTCTGCTCAGGACTTTCTATGACTCTGTGGTAGCATCTGCACTTTTCTATGCAGTGGTCTGCTGGGGGGCAGGGAGCACCGAGAGGGACAGGAAGAGACTGAATAGACTGGTCAGGAGGGCCGGTTCTGTCCTGGACTGCTCTTTGGACTCCCTGGAGGAGGTGGGTGAGAGGAGGATGTTAACAAAGCTTATATCCATCATGGACAATCCCTCTCACCCACTGCACCAGACTGTGGGGGCTTTAGGCAGCTCCTTCAGCAGCAGACTGAGACTCCCACCCTGCAGGACGGAGCGCTACCGCAGATCATTCCTCCCCTCTGCAATAAGACTTTACAATGAACAGTAACAAAACTGGATTTACACCACCACTTTTTTTATGGCATTTAAATTGTGTATATTGCAGAAAGCTTTATTTTTTCTTCTCCCTTTTCTCTTTTCAATTTTTTTTTTTTCTTAATTATTACATTTATTAAGTTCTTAATATTAGGACCCTTATTGTTATAACTGCATTTTGCACTTTCTGTCTTGTCTGTGATGCTGCTGTGACAAAAAAATTTCCCCCATGGGGGATCAATAAAGGAAAAGGAATATTCTATTCTATTCTATTCTAAGATGTACTTAAATATGTATTTATGCCTTAGGTTTAAGTATTCTTGGTCAGTGAATACTTCTATATATCTTTTTAAGAGTAATCTCTTTAAAGGTATACTCTTAAAAAGATAAGCAGTACAAGCCAAGTATACAAATATGTACCTCTATTGAAATAATAATATATCAAAAAGTATGCTTCAGAGTGGGTATACAGATAGGTTAAGGTGCATCCCATGTTGGGGACCATGGTCCCTGCAGTACTTTAGGTATACGTATACTTATCACACATTATCTCACAAGTTTGAATTCTTATTGACTAAAAATAACTTAACGTGGAATACTGGTAATACCGGTATACATATGTTTCTTATATCTCATTATACACCTGTGTGTTTACGCGTGTAGAATTGTTAATGTGGCTGTTAATATAAGACACTATGGATAACAAGGTTGCAGATGATGCTTCATCATGGACCTTAAAACCACTAACGCTAAAATAATATATCTTGAGTAAAGGCTGTGAACTTAAGTGGGCTGGTTCGAGACAAAAAAAAAAAAAAAAAAAAACTCTGCTGAAAGTGCAGAAAAGTCTGACCATTGTTTACTTGGAAAAAATTAAGGCAACAAATGACACTTTATATGATTGAATAGATTTTAACCCTTTGATGCGCAACATGGGTCAAAAAAGACCCGGCTGAGTTTAAATTTTATATATCTTCTCAAAAAATTAATTCCATCAGTCGGTACTCAAGGAATTCCTCAATTAACTTGTTTTTGACGACCCTACATCCTTATGTTAATTTTTATTTTTTTACTTTTAGAATAAAAAACGTTGTTGTATCACTACCCCTCTAATGCACAACATGGGTCTAAAATGACCCGTATCCATTTTCAATGTTATTTCATTTATGGCTGAGTGTTTCTATGGTATATCTTTGACATAAATTAATTTTATCATTTACTATTCCAAGTATGCAGTAAAGATCTTGTTTTAGTTGAGCACAAATAATCATTTTTATTTTTCCTTTCTTACGTTATGAGGAAGCACAGATTTTGTATTTCTACATGAAGTTTACATACATGGGTCAGAAATGACCCACATATAGTGACTGTAGCATTTAGCATGAAAAGACCGTCTAATACATGTAAGTATGGTTTTTCAATTGTTCTGACATTATCTTAGAAATTATTGGATGACAATTGTGAAATATAATTGTACATAGATTTGATTTGATTAGGTTTAGGTTACCTTGAGAGTGAGGACATTACATGTTGGAAAGTTACACAGTTACAGGTAAAACAGCTAGCGTTATTTCAGCTAGCTATAATCAGACGCATGTGTATGTGACAAAATGACAAATAAACATGTTGCTGATACAAAATACAAAAGTGTTTGGCCCATAGACTGTATAAAGAATGGACAGAGTCTGCCTCCTCGCTGGGTGAAGCCGAGAACAGCACCCCCTGTTTACAGGCTGCAGTACAGGTCATAAATCCCGCCTCCGCCAGCAAACCTTATAGAGCTGTGGACAAACTTTAGAAATTTATTACACAGAACATAACATTTTTCTCCCCCCTGCTTGTGATGTTGACATGTAGTTATTGAAAGACTGGTTTTTGCTCAAGTCCTCTTTTTTCTGTACAGCTCTGTTTTTAAAAGTTATTAGGGGGTTCATGTTTTCTATGATTGACACCTGCCATAGACTGTATATAGAATGGACGCTGTCTGCCTCCTCGCTGGGTGAAGCCACTCCGAGAACAGCACCCTCTGTTGATGGGCTGCAGTATAGGTCATAAATCCCGCCTCCACCAGCAAAGATTATGGAGCTGTAGACAAACTTAAAAATTTTATTACACAGAACATAAATTTTTATCCCTCCTGATTGTGATGTTGACATGTAGTTACTGACAGACTAGTTTGTGCTCAAGTCCTCTTTTTTTCTGTGAAGCTCCATTTTTAAAAGTTATTAGGGGTTCATGTTTGCTATGATTGACACCTGATACAGCCTATGGGCGTTCAGGGATTGCATAGCTCTCCCGGGGGATATGCTGTTTGAGCCGAGAGTCATCACAGCGACTCTCTTCAACTGTGTGGCCAAATGCGTGCATTGCTACTGCGCAGCGCTGGTTTCAGGAAATGAAGAAAAATCCTGGAAATATCGAGAGCTATTTGGCTTTAAATCTGTATACAGGCGGGAGGCGGAACCAAGTTGTCCATAGTATATACAGTCTATGGATACAGCCTATGGGCGTTCAGGGATTGTGTAGCTCTCCCAGGGGGATACGCTGTTTGAGCCGAGCGTCATCACAGCGACTCTCAGCGACTGCGCAGCTCTGGTTTCAGAAATGTAGAAAAGTCCCGGAAATACAGAGAGCTTTTTGGCTCCAAATCCGTATACAGGCGGTAGGCGGAACCAAGTTGTCAATGGTATATACAGTCTATGGTTTGGCCCCACTCACCACTCACTGCTAATTTCATTACTTGAAACAAATTATTAATATAGTGTTAGGTAATTTAATATTAAATCACACTTGGATGAATGGGTCGTTTTTGACCCATGTGTGTAAACTTGATGTAATAATATAGAAACTATATTATTTCATAAAGTATGAAAAGAAAAATAGAAATAATGATCAGTGGTGATCAAAAACAAGATATTTAAAGAATACTTGGAATATTCAATCAGAAAATAAACTTATTTCAAAAGATAGAACAAAGAAAAACTCAGCCAGCATGAAATACCATTGGAAATGAAAGCGGGTCTTTTTAGACCCATGTTGCGTATTAGAGGGGGTGTAGATATGTTGCGCATCAAAGGGTTAATAACTTCAACTTTAATTAAAAACTATTGATTTAATTAAGTCAATTTAAACATTTGGCACAACTTGTCTTCAGCGGAGGTGTACGGTGACAAAAACATAAAATAGTTTCCCTTGAGTAGCATTTAGTAATTTTTCAACATTGTTGACTAAACTGATAAAATATAATTAAATTCTACTTTGTGATTTTCAGCTATTATTCAAACAAAAATGAGTAAAATGCACTTGATAGATGATTCAAATTTGTTAAGATCAACATAATATTATACCAAACGCACACAGTCATTTTTTTATGGATACCTTAGTGGTATTTATTTTGTAATTATTAACTTATCCCAGTCACACTTTTTAGTGCGTGGGTCATACTCCACCTCTGCCCAGTTGGTTATGTGAATGGTTGCTGGAGATGCTTTTTCTTCTTCTTCTTGGCTGATTTGCAAACCAACTATGTAAATAAGGCCACCTGCTGAACTGGACTGAACTCAAGTGTACTCAGGCAGCGGTTTTAGCATTAAAGCAAGCTGGCAGAAGTGAACACAGACAGGAGGGGAATGGTGCTCTGGTACAGTACGAAGCAATCTGGCTTAATGTGAAAATACCCTTACATGACTGGATTCATAGTGACACATCTATAGACAAAGTACCCCTGACTGTGCAGATCCTCTTAACAGGATTGATCAAACTCTTATAAGTTATTGTTTTAGTTTTACAGGCACAACTTTACTGTTTTGATCCAACTTACTTTCATCAGCATCATTCCCAGCAGCAGCAGCAGGCAGCAGTTTTCAGTAAAAAGGCTCTAATAAATCCACTGTACACAACCCGCTCAGCACCAGACAGCTGACACACACAGTTAGTGACTGGCTGGTGAACACAGCGGTGCATTTAGCAGCTAAAGAGCCAGATATTTCCCTTGTGAACATTGGAGTTTATCAGGTGGCTTAGCACGCAGCCTCAAATGACTGCAAATGCTGCTCTGCCTGACATGTAAATAAGTATTTGTGAACAAGTTAGCCATTACAACTTGAATGGGAATACTGTTTCGAAGTTTTGTGGCGAGCATGTCCGCTGCCCCTGAGAAAAGACTTGATATTCGGGGCACTTTGAAGGCAGCATCATTTGTCAGGACCACTGGTCAGTTTACGTGTTGTCCTCGCTGTGTCAGAGAATGCAGAAAAGTTAAAGTGGAGGAGGAAGAAGGATGGGCTTGTGGTGGGTGATGAATTTTTTAACCACACACACACACATAAACACACACACGCACACATACGAACACACACGCACAGGAACACACACAGTGGCGCTGACAGGCCAGTCTATGCCAAGACTACAAAATATACTTTTACTGCTGCTGGACCAGATTAGGAAAACTCCTGGTGTTTCAGATGGCTGGTCGTGGTCTGCTCCTTAATACTGCCAGTCTGCCTTACAAGGTTCCCGAGTCTGAGCACAGATCAGCGGGAACTTTTTAAGAAACAAGCAAAAGCTTGACTCCATTTATTTATTTATTTTCGTGTTTACTTACTTCTCGGGGCACAAGAAAATATTGTTATTCTAGACTCAATGAGGTCTAACAGCCCCCCTGGCAAAGACGCAGACAGAAAAGGAGGGGGGTTTTCTTAAATGATTTATGCTCGACCGTTTAAACTTCACAAAACTGTTTGCAAGAAGCACTGTGGTGTGTCAGAGCATACAGGTCAGGCAGACTTTGAATGCCATAATGACAAATACCAGAATGCAAGTCATCTTTTAAACTGCAGTCAGTCTATGATGTGTAGAGCAGAGTTGATGCAAAGTGTTGAACAGAGCTTTTATCCAGACTGGATACTTTTTATACTGCTGTCTAGCCTGCAGTTGCGTCTACTTTGGCCACTTTATATCATATTTTCTGAGAGGAATCTCTGCTTTCTGTCACACCATTTGCATAGTTACTAACTGTGGTAGATGGCACATGGGATAATATACTTGTGGTCTACTATTCTGACATAAAAACAGTTGTTTAGGCTTTTTTAAACGGCATCATGACATGAAAACAGAAGAAAAGGTTTCTCAACATCCTGTAGTTAAGTTTTATCTCCATGTTGCATGTTTTTTATGATCAGTGTTTTAAGCTTTGTGAACAAAGAAACATACACATTACCAAACACCAGCTCGCTGACTTTTATGGTTCATAAAATATTTAAGATAGTGTCTGCAGCACTTACTAATCCCAGGTGCTTTCATTTAGAATTTTATGAATGTCGGTGAAGCTGGATTTTAACAGACCCTCATTAATCCCCTCTTTGCTGATTTTATCTTTTCAAGAGTCCAAGAAGTTTTTGTTGTCAAATATCAGGGTATCTAAAGAGCAATATACCTCTAGAGTGAAAAAAAACAAAAAAACAAAAAACTTGATGAAGGTTTAGGGTTTGCTGTTGAAAGACTTCAGTAATGAAGAAATGTCTGTCGAAAGTTCTACTTAGAGACACCGACCTGATTTCAAAGTAATCCTTCAACTGCATTTAAAGGTGGGATCAGCAGGAATCCATTAAAGGAGCATCTTTTTTTGTGGTGTATATACAAAAAAGCTTTTAATATCAGTCAATAGCATTAGTCATTGATGACATTTGGTAATATAACGATATCACTGTGTTTTGTTACGTCTGTGTATTCAACATTTTATATTTTTTGACAGTAAACAAAGTAATTCTCCGCCTCCCCCAACCTGATTGGTTGTGCAATGCACCAAAATGAAACACTAGAGCCTGCTGATATGTAAGTGATCAATGCTACTCAAGCTAAAATGTACGATAAACAGAAACCAAAATAACTTCCATGCAAAAAATCCAGATCATGGAATAAAGATTCCACCCTTTCATGTTGAATATATTAAAGAAAAAATAAAATAACAATCCATTTAAGGATGTAATAGAAACACGTGTCCATTACCTCACAACCCATGAGCCCTGGCTCATG